AAAATAATTATTAATTCCCTTCTTCCTCTTCCATCACTCTCCTCAACATCTCCGCTATCTCTTCCCTTCTCACCGTCCCCTGGCCGGTTGCCCTAACGGCGATCTTCCACTCTTCCGACACCATCCACGCGTTCATCTTCTGCTCCGAGTGCAAAGGCCATGCAATCATCGGCACGCCATTGGCCACGCTCTCGAGAATCGAATTCCATCCACAGTGCGACACGAAGGCTCCGGTTGAACGGTGTGCCAGGATCTCCTCCTGCGGGGCCCACGTTCGGACCACCAGTCCTGTCTTCTCGGTCCTCTCTAGAAACCCGTCTGGTAAGAAATCTGTCTTGGTCGCTTGGTTCTTGGTCGTGTTAAACATGGACGCAGATGGGTCGTCCTCGGCCGGTGGGCGGACCACCCAGACAAACCTTTGCCGACTCAGCTCCAACCCCCAGGCCAGTTCGGTCGTTTGGTCGGATGTAAGGGACCCGCCACTTCCGAACGAGACGAACACTACAGACTCCTCGGGTTGCTGCTCAAGCCAGTCCAACACCTCGTGCTTCAAACCCGGTTCTACCGGCCTGATCAGCGGTCCAACCGGGTAGATCGGTACTCCTCCCATGGCTCGACCCAGTTTCTCCGGGTCCAAGAAAGAGCCAATCACCTCGCACTCGAGCTCATGCCACGTGTTCACGAACACACCATTGACGGCTAATATCTCAGTTCCCATGCGCAAGCACTCGGTCAGATCCTGGATACTGCTGGGATCCTGAACCGGGTCGAGCTGAACCGGGCTGCAACCCGGTATGAGCAATGGTTCACGGCTACTTACAAGCTTATATAACGTACCCTTATCAAGACTAGCCATATAGACCGTAAGTGCCAGAAACCATGCACTCGTGGTAACAAGAACGAATTTTCTCGTAACCTCGAGGTCTCGAGCCACGGCCAACGCTTCAATGCCCATCAAGTCAGCCACTAGAACCGTAGGGCGTGGCTCCAGTTCCATAACAGCGGATCTAATCTCCGGCAAGGCCATTCGCATCATCGTAGCTAGTTTGTTCAGGACAGAACCAGTGAGATCCTGTTCAGGAACTTCTAGAGAGATAAACTCTATTACCAAACCAGGGGTTTCAGACATTGATAGTCCGAGTTGGGATTTCGAACGTGAGATGTCAGTTGTTACGAGGAAGACAGTGACACGATCAAAGCCGTGGTGAGTCAGAAGGCGTTTGCCGAGTTCTATGATTGGGACGGCGTGGCCCATGCCGGGGCTGGACACTAGGGCTCCGTGAAGATCCATATGGCTCAAAAGGTTATAGAATTTCGTTTTATTTTAATGGTTTGCATGCATGCACATGCATTTATAGATGTATTTGGATATGGAAAACGACAAAATATATTTATTTACAATGGGAGTTACTATAGCCTAATGGCATAGAGCCATAAATGATCTAAAAGAAACGAAAATGGTTACAAAATAAAAAAAATTGTAACACTTAGTTTCATTATTACAATTATTATCATCATAATTATGATAATTTAATTCGTTAATTAAAAAAATTATATATAGTTTGTATTGAATAATATTTATTTTTCTCTAATTAAGGTGGAAAGAATTACGAATATTATAAGATGAGAATGAACCAATATGATAATTGTTGAATCTTACCAGACATAAAAAATATTAGACAATTAGTTAAAAAATATATTAACAAAACCTTCTGAAAAATCTTAAATATCAGCCATAATCGTCAACGTATTGCATGATGGCTAACCTCTTCTTTACAATAAGAGCATGTTATTATTCCACACGTTCTTCCCAAAAATGACATACATGATTTATTTAGAGTTATAGTTTGTCCGAAAATCTCTCATTTCCATTTACAAACTCCAGATGTGTAATATTAATATATATATATATATATTTGGTATACATGTACATATATATATATATATATATATATTACGTTAAAGATCCATGGTTTAAAGGTTTATAATTTTATTTTATTTTATAATTTTAAAAACATATATGCATAAACATTTATTGGTATATTTTCACATAGAAAACGATAGATATATCAATATGCTTTGACAAAAAAAAATAAAAAAAATGACCATTAACCTCTTGCCATAAAGGTACCTAAAAGAAAAGAAAAAGCGTGATTGTTACGCAATCTTAAATCGTAAGACAATGACCATTATTACATGATTACGTTACAAATCAGTATTTCACGTCATATGTAATAATTAGATAAAGATATTTTAAACAATACAAAATAAATTATTATGTTACAATGAGATGTACTTGTCTCGAACTAACGCCTCAACCAAATTTGGATAGTTAAACCGGTAAAATGGAAATAAAAAGCATTTATCCCGTTCCCAAATTCGAATCTCAAGTTTATTTGCTTTCGACCTTGAGATTAGTTTGGATTTCGACCCAAGACACCCGATTACCCAAAAAATAAATAAACAACATCCCATTTCATTTTATATTCTAAGAACACGTGTAAATGATTTTTTTGTATAAAATAATTATTAATTATGTTAAACATTTATACATTTATACACCGTTGTAAGTTTTGGTAATTAAGGCGTTATATATAGTTTGTATTGTATATTATATATCTATATCGAATTGAAGCGGAAAGATTAAGAGGAAACCAAAACAGCCACACATGATAATTTCGTTTATAGTCGATCTCAACACACAATGCCAAAAAACAAAATTATTAGAAAACAGATTATATTTTAAACAAGGCTTCTGCAATAACCAAATCATCCAAAGGCATTTGAATGGAGTTCCAAATCTAATCCTATGATGAAATTAAGACAATGAACGCAGTGTTTGCATGTCGTACACCTCTGACCCAATTCAGATAATACTGTACAGTGCAGGGTAGAGGAAGATGGAGTCGCCAAAAACTTTATGTTCGATGTCGGATTCTTGGTGGTTACTGTTCTTTTAGCATCGGCTTTTCCCACTTCCTAGAGTGAGCTCGAGATCTTCTACCACAACCTCGTGAATCTTTTCGCCTTCCCACGGCATCACCTTCCCATTCTCGAACTCGAACTCCGAGCCTCCACCGATTCCTGCCATCCCCCGACTTCCCCCCTTCGCAGAATCGGCCACAGAGTTCTCCTTCACAAGATTGAATGTAGGAGAAGGAGGAGCCGCGGGCTGAAAACTAATCCAACACTGGCCTGAATCCTCGATCGAATCATCGGATTCGTCACACTCGGGTATTGTAGGTGGAGTCTGATAGCCACGGTGAGAAGGGCTAGAAGGAGCGGAGACCGCGAAAAATGGATGCCTCAGCGCGTGTAAAGATCCATCGTTTGGTAAATGCTCCGAAATGAGTTTAGGCTTGGAAGTCGGGGAAGACAGAGGCGGTGTAACTGGGGCGCTGTTGGAAATTCTAAGAGGGGGAAGATTTGCGGGAATCGAAGAGGCGATACTGTGAAGGAACGGGAGAAGGTACGTGGAAGGGTTCGAGACGTAACGAGTCGGGCTCGGGAAAGAGGAGGAGACGGGACTGGCATGGTAAGAAGGCGCAGGGCTCGGGAAAGCAGAGGAATGTGGACTTGGTTGAACAGAGGAGTTCGTACTGAATCCAGTCGGAGTCCCCGAAATTTCAGCCGGCTGCAGCGTACAACCCTGTTGCAGTAGCAGAATTAGTAAGAGGCGTACGAAATCGTGTATGATACAAGGACGGACTCAAAGAAATTGTGCGCATTCATATCATCACGGAAATAACACGCAGAATTACTAGACAGTCAACGGTCTTTTCTCATCCAGTGAACAGAGTCAACGGGATTTTCTCCCAAATTCTCTAAACCTAAATTTCCAGCTGAAATCTTCGAAACACAGTGGCGTCAGCTAAATCGGATCGGAATGCGAATGAACAAAGATCAGGCTCGAAAATCGAAAAAATCCGTAACAAACAAATCGCGAATGATTGAGAATTTTTGTCTCCGTAATTCCGAATTCGAATCAAACCAATCGAACAGTGAAAAAAAAATCTTCACAATCGCGAGAGACGTGTATGAATCGAAGCAAAACAATCTGAATCCAGAGAAAGAGAGACAGAATTCGGAGATCAAGAACAAACACGGAAGCGCTCTCTGATTCAGCGATCGGAGGAAAGGAGAAATGACCTTGCGATAAGTGGTGCCGTCGTCTTCGACGATCCAACCGGCCTCGGCGCAGAGAGCTTTGAGGACCTCGTTGTTGTCACAGTGTTTGGGGAGCTTGAAGTTTCCCTGAGCCCTGAGCCCGGCGTAAATCTTGGCCGTGATGGCTCTTCTCCTCCTCTCCCTCCTCTTGTTGTTATCCCTCTCCTTCCACGTCGGTGTCCTCCCCGTCGATGATCCTACCGCCGCCATATCTCCCGGCGATCTCTCTCTCTCTCTCTCGTCTCTGTCAGTCTGTCACACGAGGAGAGGTTTACATACACACACACACATATATATATATATATATATATTGTTTCTGTGACTCGAAACGGATTGGCTGAGCCTTTCACATTTGACGTTACCACATTTAAATAATAGATTCAGTCGATCCATAAGTTTTTCGAATTTTAAAAATTAAAACGCCACACAAATTTTAACAAAAAAGAAATCTTTTTCGGAATATGGAATTATTAAGAAATTTTTTATTAAAGTAAAGTTTTTTTTAACATAACTAACAAACGATACTACAACAGTTATACGAAATATTACTTGTATAAACTGTAATTTAAAATGTTATGGAAAAAAATGAAAAAAAAAAATACATAACGTACTATCGAAGGGTTAGGACGGGGGACAAAGCATACACACGGAGGAGGATTAGTTAGAAAATAAAACTAATCAATTAATTAATGATATGATTACCTCGCACGGCTCCGCACGTGTGATCCATGCCTGCACGTAGGTCCTACACGGAAGTCAGCTTCCACGTCTGGTCCCCACCTCGATCCATAACAACATCTTTTAATTTTTTTTTATTAAATCCCTATCCTACAACCTTCCGGATCACACACCGGACACCGCAACGCCTCTCAGTCCATAGATCGGACGAGAACGGCATCAGAACAGTATCGCGGACCTGAAAAAATTCACCGTCCTACACAGTAATCGGTAAACCACGTAGAGCAGATAAACCAGTCTCGTAAAGCTGACCGGCTCAAGGGGAGTACCATATCTGAGATTCGAACCCACCACCTAATGGAAGAGGGGTTTTTAATTTTATATTTACTTTGGGTACTTTACTAGACAAAAGAAATGTATTATGTATATGAATTTGTTTTTGGTACTGGGTAATCCAAATGGTTATGAAAACTGCGTGATATTAAATAAATAGGTGCAATATCTTAATAAAACCATAAATGATACGATTATAATTTATATTGATTCACTTCTGCTCATAAATGTAACATGTGTATATACAGACAGGGTCGTCTCATTGACGGAGGCCCCATGCATATATCTATATATACATATTTATTTTAATCAATTTTAATATATCTATTAAGATTTATTAAAATTGTATATTTTGTCAATCATAAAATATAAAATTAATGTTACAATTATTTTTTGTGATAACATTGCAAAATTTTATTTTATTTATAATATATATATCTGTATATGTAAGTAACACGGCTCTGTACATGTAAGTAACATGTATGTATATATATCTGTATATGTTAGAGATTTAGAGGGGGAAAAAGAGGAGCCACTAAGGCAATGGCTGTCGGAGCACGTGAGGCTCCAGCAAGGCGTGGGCAAAGACATGGGAGCAGAATAGCATGCTAGCTGGCGTCATGTCATTACAGCAAAATCAAATCAATTAAGTTAAACGAACCAAATTAATTAATTCAAATCTGCTAATTCCTTCCATTATCCGGTAAGTAGTATAATTCAAAATATAACTAATATGACGTTAAAATCAAATCATATCCATTACCTTCTCATAAACTTTTTTTTGTTGCAACGCTAAAAAAACGTCAATTTAAAATATTTAAATCTATGAACTTTAATTGTTCGATCAAATCCAATCTGTCAGTGACTTTGGATCAGATCCATCACGTGGGATATTAACATTTTTTTTTTTAAAAAAATCGTACGGCGGTCATTTACAATTAATAGTAGCCGTTGGATTAAATTAATCTCCATTGATCACATATTCTTTGTTCTCGTACAATGCATCTGTCCGAACCCAAAAGGATTTGATTATTTTGTTCTTAATTATCTGTTTCGCATAATAAATTTATTATGCCCGTAATGTTTTTTGTTGTAAAAAAAGCATCTGTAAATCTCACAATATACTTTAGTTGCAATTTTATGCTATAGTATAATATATTTCCTAATTATATTGCATCATTTATATTTATTATATTGCTAGTTCAAAAAAATGTACACGTGGACGTGGATATAAAAAAACATAACTAAAAACAAGTGATGTGCTCATATTGAGAGAAAATCGAAGGGGGGGGGGGGGGGGGGTGGTTCAGTTGGGCCCATGATTTCTACATTTGGTGTTTGCTAATGGGCCACCAGTCCATGATTTTGTAACTTACACGTTTTATCCATTACTCGAAATGTTTTTTTGGTAAAGTTTTTGGTAAATAAATGTTTTTTTTTGTTAAATAAAATAAATGTTTATATGTTTTTTTTGGTAAAGAATGTTTATATGTTTTTTTTATAGATAGTTTCGGCGAGTTTTCATGTATTCGAGATACCGTATCTTTTTAATTTATTGTAAGATCAAAATAAATTATTCGTCATAATGACGTTTCTATTCTACCTTTCGAAAGTTGGAAAAAAAATCTTAATTAAGATCAACTTACAAGTAAGTTACATCATATAATTGCGTTTACATTACACTTACAAGTAAGTTACTTTGTTAAAGATATAAAACCGAAAACTATGAAAATCATACATCATATATTATTTTGAATAAACCATATAGAAAAATAATATGTATACGTAATACGTTAGTGCTTCATTTGCGTCTTACGAAACATGTGATTATCCGATAAATACTAAGGAAATATGTATGACGTAAGATAGCGACAATTATTGCAAAAAATTATAAAGATCTATTTTTTTTTTTAATCGAGACGTGGAAATAATAATCATTTTGACAATAAGCTAATTGCCCTTTAGTCCAAAATTATCCATTAATCTAAGATCGATCATCTCAATTTAATCTGTAATCGATTTCGGTTCGGCTGTTCACGTTGGTGGACGTCCATTGCAGCGACGACAAAAGTTGGGTCGGATTCAGATCCGCCATAGATGCAGGAAATCTCCGGCTCCAGGTTCTTGGGAGCTTAGCTTTGGTCGTGTCCGAACTCTCTCCGGGTTCGTCTCTGTCCCCTCGCCATCTCCGACCAACCATGAAGTAAGCTCTTTGACTTTTTCTCTCTCGGCCGTGTTCATCTTCCTCTGGTTCGCTGATTCTTACACTCTCTGCAAATCCTGTCGATTAGCGTTAGTGTTTATGGGAACGGTTCTTGTTTGATTCCGTCTCTCTGCCGGAGATTTTCTGTTTATGATTCTCTCTCTCGAATGATCAGAAATCGGGGTTGTAACTTGTTAGATCTGTTTCATCGATGGAACAGAGATTTCGAACGGAATCAAGTTCCATGGGAATCCATTACCGGAATCTGGTCTGTCCATAGACGAACGATATCAATTGCTGTTCATCTTATAACTTCGTTGAAAGAGTGAGGTTGTTTTGGACAGAACAAGAAAGCTCTTTGGAGTTTCCATTTCTCTGATTCTCATAAACATGGCGGCAGTAATGGAGAGAGCAGATGAGAATCTTCTTCCATCAGTTTACAAAGAAGTCAGTGAAGCTTTCAATGCCGGCCCCTCTGATCTCGGCTACCTCACCTTCGTCCGAAACTTGGTTCAGGGCCTGGCCTCGCCTCTAGCCGGCATTCTCGTCATAAGCTATGACCGCCCCACCGTTCTCGCCATAGGCACCTTCTGCTGGGCCTTGTCCACTGCTGCTGTAGGCGCAAGCCGGTATTTCTTACAGGTCGACCTCTCTCTCTCGATCCTCGAAGCAATGACGGGTTCGAATCCTGTGACATTAATCGCTGTTTTGATTCATTTCCCATCAGGTTGCTCTGTGGAGGGCGGTTAACGGGTTTGGACTGGCGATTGTTATACCAGCGCTTCAATCGTTCATTGCTGATAGCTATATGGACGGAGTGAGGGGAGCTGGTTTCGGCTTTTTGAATCTCGTCGGCACGATTGGAGGTATAGGAGGAGGTGTAGTGGCAACTGTCATGGCCGGTCAAGAATTCTGGGGAATGCAGGGCTGGCGATGCGCCTTTGTAATGATGGCCGCCTTGAGCGCATTGATCGGATTCCTCGTCTTTGTCTTTGTCGTCGACCCGAAGAAGAAAACAACGAGCCTCGTCCTTCACGACACTAAAAGGTAAAAAAGAATAATCATCCCTTCTCGGATTCTTGGCATCAGGACATAGTTTTTCTCTTGTTCTTGGTTTGAACCCGTTAAGGTTTTGAACTCAGTGGCGAGGAAAAGAAAAATACTTCGACCTCTGTCTGGAACAGCTCGTGGGCAGCGACCAAAGCTGTCGTGAAAGTACGGACTTTTCAGATCATTGTCTTGCAAGGGATCGTTGGTTCACTTCCATGGACTGCAATGGTGTTCTTCACCATGTGGTTTGAACTCATCGGTGAGGATCACGCATCGTTTTTTTCGAAATTCGAATATCGTAAAACCCGGAAACAAACCCGTATCTTGAAGATTAACATTATCCCGATCGGTTTCAGGGTTTGATCACAACAAGACGGCGGCTCTGCTCAGCGTTTTCGCAACTGGAGGTGCAATAGGTACGTTGATCGGCGGAATCATAGCCGATAAGATGTCGGGTTTGTATCCGAATTCGGGCAGAGTAATGTGTGCTCAGTTCAGTGCTTTCATGGGGATTCCATTCTCCATTATCCTCCTGAAAGCAATCCCACAGGACACAGACAGTTACTTCATCTTCTCGGTCACTCTCTTCCTGATGGGTCTGACCATAACCTGGTGCGGTTCTGCCGTGAACGCTCCTATGTTCGCTGAGGTTGTCCCCCCAAGGCATCGCACGATGATCTACGCCTTCGACCGTGCCCTCGAAGGGTCGTTCTCGTCTTTTGCAGCGCCATTGGTCGGGATTCTGTCCGAGAAGATGTTCGGGTACGACTCTAAGGGCATCGATCCTCTCAAGGGATCTGCCCGTGAAGCCGAGGCCTTATCAAAGGGGCTTTTGTCAATGATGGCCGTCCCGTTCGGGCTCTGTTGCCTCTGCTACACGCCGTTGCACCTCGTCTTCCGAAAAGACCGAGAAAACGCTAAAATTGCTAGTTCCAAAGAAACCGAGATGATCTGAGATTGTAGTGACGGGTTTCGAAAACGTAAAGATCGATTCTTTTTTGCTCCTGGAACCTCATTGTCTCGGATTCTAACACAATGCAGACAACAGCAAATGTCTATACCCACAAATGAAACGATCAAAGTGTTTACATACATGATTCGAGTTGATATCTTTCATTCTCCTAAGCAGATTCTTCAACCGATACAATGGTGAATAAGAACTCTTATCTTGCTTGAAAGTTGATCAAGAACTTACTTAGATACACCGAGGGAAGAAGGTTTGACCGACATATCCACCCGACATGGCCCTCCTGACGTTGGACTCAAACAATTTCGGGTTATCTCTCAAAACTGCTGCGGCGTCGTGATTCAGAGGGTCCTCGCAATTGGGTTCCTGTGCGAAAACAAGACTTGTAAACCAACCGAGAAACACTAGAATCATCGGTTAGGTATATTTCAAGTTAGGTCATCGAGAATATTTACCGTGAAAAGATGGTACAGCCCGTAGATAACAGTGTTTATGTTGAGAACGGGTTTCCAGTCTTCTCGCAAGATGTTCAGGCAAACATTTCCCTCCAAGTCGATATTGGGATGGTAGACCTACAAGGAAAATGAATGAAAAGATCCAAGATTTGTAATCGAATGATGAAATTTCATGAATAAACCCACACCTTGGTCTTGCATTTAACCTTCGGAGCTTCATGTGGATACACATGAGAGACCTGGAACGAGAAAACGAATGTACCGTTTCTGCCATTTTGAAAACGCGAGAGAGTAAGTTCCCGGGTAGATTCTCGAGACTACGAGACAAAAAAGAACCGATGAAAAAGTCGATCCTTACTGGTAGTATCCTTCATCGGGCTTAATGGACACCTCAAAGTGCATCAAATCATCCTTTCCATTCGGAAAAGATATGGAACAAGACTTTGGCAGATTCAATTCCGATATATCTGCTCGTAAGGGAAGCAAAACACACGAGACTTCAGACAAAGATTATCGATACTAAACCCTAAAGGACAAACAATGATGGTGGATTGATAAACTGACAATTAGGAACCTTTGTGAAGACGTAATTCGCCGGCAGATTGCTTCTTGGCAGGAGCTCCCCCTCCTCGGTTAGCATTCTGAGCTTGTTCTCTTTGCTTTTCCTTCACTTTGAATAACCCTATCATGGCTTCAACAACTACAATACAAACCAGAGACAGATTAACTATATATCAATGTCTTCAATCTCCATTACCCAATCTAATATATCTCATAGAAGATCGATCTACACATTGATTAGACATCAAAAGCATCAGGGAAACAAAATTCAAGCATTGCTCGCACAATTCCCACGATATATCAAACCATAGCTTGTGTGAACTTAACACTAGAAAGACGGCAGACTTGAAGCATAAGAATCGTCTTTAATTAGGGTTGGCTATCGAACTTTCCACACAACAGATCGAATCAAACGAAACCCGACCACAGAAAACCCAAATTCGAAGATCCCCACAGTAACCCAACAAAAATCCAGAAACGAAATTACAAGGAAAAAGACATCTATCTGATTTGCCAACAGGGTTAAAAATACCACAGATACAGGACAAGATGACCGATCAGGAGGATGAACCCAACTTAAAAAACGAAACGACGATACCGAAGAAGAGATAAACGATTGAAGAACTTACAAACAAGCGGATATTTTCTCAGAATGAAAAGGAGATCGGAACAATTACGCGCAAATCGGAACTCGCAGTTCTGGTTTCTCTTCTCTCCTCTTCTTCCTCTTCCTCCTCTTCGTCGTCCTCTTCTTCTTCTTCCTCGCGTTCTCGTAAGCTGAACGATGGAAATGCAAGGTGAGAAGAAAGTTAAATGTGATGTATTTTAGCTTCGTCTCAACGCTGACTCAGATTCGGAATCTTCACCTCTTTCGTGTCGATGCCTAATGGGCCCATTATGCTGAAGCCCAAAGGGACATTGTAATGATTTTTAAAAGGCCTTTTAAGGCCCAAATATATTCGTCCGTCATACATACATGAACATGACAATGACAGTCACGTTATTACCACCACCACACACTCGAAAAGGTTGGAAAAAAAAACATATTAATATTGTTGTTATAATTAATATTTTATTAATCACAAAATGTTAAATCACTGTCTTATGTAAATGATAAATATATTTGGTTGGAGAGAGTTTTTCGCTATTCCTAGTTAATAAGATATTAAAAAGTACAGAGCTTTATATATATATATATATGTATATGGGAAAATTTATATAAAAACCATATATTTGAGTAACAGGTGGGAGAATTTGGATACAATTTTGATTTTTTAAAAATTTATTTGAAACATACGAAATTGGATTAAATTATACAATTATCTTTCATATTTATTAGTTATATTATTAACAAAACTATACATCAATGATTAAACATATTTAATAAAAACATCCTAAATACTGTCAATACTTGCCAACCGTTTGCCTAACGGCCAACTACACAAGTAATTAATACAATCCATATTTGTCTAATTCAACCGGTGAAATGAGACGTAGAGTGTTTGTCTCGTCCCAAATTCGAAACTCAAGTTTGGAGAACGAGAACGAGCGTATAATCTAAATCATATAACTTCCAACTTCGAAAATAATTTGGACCTTGCTTCAAGGTACCGGTAGGCGTTGAATACATAGTATGTATATATTATACAACTATATATAAATATAGATATATGTATATCTATCTGCATGCGGTATATTTATATCATTAATGTGTGTGTATATATATGTAAACTCCAATATATATATATATATATATGTATATAATATAGATATATGCGAATATATATATAGATATATATGTGTGTGATCAGATGTGCGTGTATATGTACATAAGAATATAAACATGTAATAATTAGCGATTATGTAGATATTAAGTTGGAAATATACAATATATATAATACTATATATATGTTTGTATACGTAAGTAGTTAAATGTCTGTATAATATTTATATATATATATATATATATATAAGTAAATAAAAAAGGAAAGAAAAGGATAATGATAAGAGAAGAAGACAAAATGGCATAATTAAGCTGCCTTTTATTTTCAACATCCGACAAATGCAAAGCGCGAATCATGATGAAGACGCACTTAGAAATATTTAATTCGCGATCGCGCGAACGATTGTCCGACAACTTTTCTGCATTTCACGCCACTCAGACGACATCATTATCACGCCATTATTGAGTTTCGTTTATAAAAGGAGATAGAGAAGAACAGAGAACGAGCAAAAGTCGAGAGAGTTTTAGGAGAGATTTTCAAAGTATTCTCGGAGAAAGGAGAATAGAGAAAGACAAGTAGACGCTGCGCTGTAAAAATACTGAGCAATTTCTTTCTCTGTTTCTGTTTCAATATGAATACTTGTTGGATTCTTTTCGTTATTATGTTTTCCATAGATTGTGAGTAATTTTTCCGTTGTAGGTTATAGATTAAATGGTTTGTAAGGATTTATTTTAGTAATTACAGTTTTATAATTTGGATCGAATTAATAGATTTTAATGCTGCAATTCGTTTTGACCAATTGAATTATTGATGTTAGAATTTGAATTTACATAGAGATATAAAATTTGAATTCAGAAATTATTTATTCGATTAGGTAATTTTCGTATCGAGAGATAGTTGCATTGCCTAGAAATTATGATGGCGGATTTAATGATTTTTAAGAATTATAATCTATTCAGAACCGAGAGGTCGGTAGAATAAATTCTTAGAAAATAAGGTGAGACTCGAGAGGATAATCCTTTGCAAATACGGACTTGAATTTTCTAAATTATGACCATAGTTACCGAAATATATCTTTAGGAACGATCCTTACATAACCCGAAAAATCCCGATACCTACAACGTCTTAATTAAATTGTGTTAAAATCGTTGTTTGTATTTGCTTTAAGTAATATTTACATTTAATCACCATCATCACCACTCAAAATTATCGTCCCGACCGAAACCGAGTAGAACCCGTAATTGTACCATTAATGTCCACGTGTCCCTGTGTTCGACTCTAGATACTGCAATTGACTCGTGCACTTGTGGTAGTTGTATCTAGGAAATTAAATGAGATTTGATCACACCCTAGATCGACATCACTATTACACATTGGATGTCACGAATTTATAAATATATTTTGTCGGTCTACAATTATACTCATTCTTTATAACTTTTATCATGCCAAATATGGATTTTTCGATAAAAATTTAAATTCGGAAACAATATGAATTTATTTGAACTAAAAACTATGCGGTATTTATAAATGAGATAAATCAGTTATATATATATATATACACATTGTCAAAAATATATTCCATTTGCTATTTTGATTTCAAGATATAACCTTTTCTAGTTGTAATCCTGTAAGTCTTGTGACTAAAATTATAGTTTTGTCACATATTGGTTATATTGATAACGTTAAATTTATGGTTATAACACTAATTCATGATATTTATCTCTTATATATCTCACTAATCATTTGATAAAAATATTGTAAATTTAACGTAATGATTATTATGACCAACATGTGACCATAATGTAATTCTGGTTGCATTGATCACAAAATCACAAATGAAAAAAAGGTATGGATTGAAATCAAAATAGAAAAATAATGATATTTTTTTATATAATGCCAATAATAAATTAACATCACAATTTAGTGATAACCGGCAGTTTAACCGTGTATGATAGAATCGTTGAATTTTCAAATATAATGTGCTCACACTAGGAATTCATTTCTATATTTGTCTTTTTTTTAAAAAAAAAATTCTTTTAATCCAATATATCAAATAATGTAAAAATTATAAAGAACAAAATTACGAATGGGTATATAATAAATTGATAGCACGTGCTTTCCATGTTTAAATAAGAAAAATATATTTTAATACCCATGTAATCTTTGGAATTACATGCTCTTTTGTCATATTACCAGTAAATTACATCACTTCCGGACCTCACCCAAATACAATTAATTGTTAGTGCACTTGTGATATTCTCAAAAACTTTGTCATCCGAAATCCGAAATTATTTGAATATGATAGGATCGGTGAACATAATCGTTGGTACGGTTCTTGTTAAATAAAAATATTTGGACTATAAAAAATAAAATTTTCAATTTTATTAAAATTATACTTTTATAACATTTTTATATTCGCTAAGATTTTAACTTATACTAGGTTTTAATCCGCGTGTATCGCGCGGACTACAGATACGTATAATTTTTTAAAAAATATATTAGTTTTAAACTTAAATATATTATATTTTATTTTTGAATATATAATTTATATATTAAATCAAAATGATAAATATTTTTAAAAAATATTGAGATAATGGTATCTTTTTAAAAAAAATAATTGAGAATACCGTCTATGTTTATATTTTTGTATATTATAATATAAAATTAAAGGTTGAAGTAGTATTTCTAGAAAGAAAATTAAAAAAAAATTGAACTTAATTTTTTTTTATATTTGTAATCAAAATATAGATAATGGGATGATGCATTTTTTTGAAAAATAGTTTGTGAATAATTTTTGTGTTTAGATTTTTACGGGTTATAATATACAATTTTAATATAGTAGAAAATATATTAACCCGCATGCATCGACTGTATTAAGTATATTCTAAATAATAGATTTTCTTATATAAGAAAAAAATATAACTTATGATGAATATAATATAATTAGCTATATCATATATTTGTTTTGTAAAATATTGGGAAATTAATTAAAATAAATTTATAATATAACGTTTTTTATGACGTGACTAAACACTGATTCCGGGCAACGGGGATTAAGTAGGCCGGAAGCCCCGTGAATCTTCTAGTTATAAAAAAACATAACTTTTCTTTTATATTGATTAAAAATTCACAATACACCCGTTTAGATATCAAGTAGTCATAATTGATAAATAAAAATCCTTTTTTGCATTAAATTCTTTCAATTATGATTTTATCTATTGGAATAGCAAATGATTTAATTTTAAAAAAAATAAATACGTACATTTTGCCATGAAACGAACTATATATATAAGATGCGTTGAAAGATTACATTTCAATAACTTATGTTAATCAAAGAACTTACCCATATATAGATGTGTTTACCTATTCCTTAATCACATAATTCGACTAAGAAATAATATATATATATATAAAACCACATATTTTCCATGTTTAGTCATCACACAAAATATTTGGAAATATTCTTCTTCTAAAAGAGCCATCCTAATTAACGAATTATTTGATTGATTATAAATAATAATAAAAAATATTTCACCCATTAATCACTCTCCCTCTGCGAACCTTTACCCAGACAACATGAAGTCGTGGACGTCTTCTTCATTTTTGCTTTCGTTTTCAGTTTTCTTATCTTTCAGTGTTGCTATCAGCTAAATAATCTTCTTTTCAATCTCCCTTCTCTTTCCTTTTGGTTTTTATCTAGGAGGGGTTCAACTTTCATTTTGTTTCTCTCCTTCCTGATTCAATCTCTTTTGCGTGATGAGGTCTATACGAATTCGATTTAGAGTTCTTTTGTTGAGATTTTGATTATTGGATCTGGGGTTTGACGGATTAATTAAGGAATTTTGGCAAATGTAAATGATTATAGATCTTTTATAAGATATCTAATCTTAATGCGTATGATTCGTATGAAGCATTCGTATTTGATTGTGTTCCTTTACAGGTTTTACAGACATAACACATATATATACATAGATTAGTTTATCTTAATTGATATTTAGGGATTTGCAATTCACAAACAAAAACGATCACCACTTGACTTGATTTTTTTTTATATTTTTAATAATTATTTTCATGATAAAGCATATATTACAAATAAATTCTAGATTCAAATAAACTATACTTATACTAATAAATAATGCATAATTATGTAATATAACAAAAATAAGAGAGAAAAAATCGGATATAGAAATAGTATTTTTATGGAAAATTCTATTAACATGAAATTGTCTGACATGAAAATATTATATTATAATTTTCCTTAAAATTAGTATTATACAGAATTATAAAATATCTACATCAGGATAAAATGTTTAATTGAATTCGGTATTAAATTAAACACCATATTAGAACATCAACATATTAACGCATTAAAAGAGTCGACAATTAATAATTTTTTTGACATGTTTAGTTTTAGATATATCTTTTTATTAAAAAAAAGACAGTAAAATCTTATTTGAAAAATATTTTTTTGAAATTACTACAATAAACTATATGTTAAAATGCAAAAAGTATAAAATAGTATATACAATGAATGAATATATTAAAGATAATAAAAATAGGATAAGAACGGAAAAAGAAGAAAAATCCCTTGAAAAAGAGATAATACCGACATCAAATTTATTTCTTTAAACCCATTATAACCCAAATGTTTATCCCATACATAATGACGTTATAAATTCATCTTTATCACATGATGTCCATAGACCTATATATACAAGTACAACCATATGGATGCATCTATATAGATACATATATACGTACTTACTTATAAGATAGTTAAACACAAAAAGCTTTTGTTGTTATAGCACTTGGCTTCACACGGTTTTCAAATTCATAAACCAAATCTAATACTTACATGACTAAAATTGAATAAAATAAAATATAAAAATAACAAAAGAAAATGATAAATATTTAATAAAAATATTTTTATCATTGAAATTTTAAATAAACACAATTGATATAAAATTTTTAAAATTGATAGAACCAATCCAAATAAAATCAAACTGGACCGGAATTGAAAACCTAAATTGCCACCCTATCGGATAATCATTTGCAGGCAAAACGTTTTAGTTCATCTTAATTATCACATATAATTTTCTATCTTCAGAGAGCAGAAATACCAAAAAAAAAATTATTATACAATATTTATATCTCACCTTGTACTTTTCGACAGTATTTGAAAGGTTCCGTCAAACTTCTCCGACATTAATATATCTCTTGACTTCTTTCTCAAATTCGCCATTTTTCTTCCACCATCTCTTCGTCTTTGTGGACGGACATTTTACCCATCAACTATAAAAAAAAATTCAAAATATCCAAAAGCATTGTGGGTTCGACTGGTTGTACCGCAGCGGTTGCGGTTGCGGGTGACAGTGTTTTCAAAACGTTTGATAGCGATTATAAATGATTAGTATTGACTGGTTGAGAAGTTGTTGTTAGTACCGATTGCGGGTGGGTGCAGTTAGAAGTGAATGATTCATTACGGTTGCGGTTGCGTTTTGATATAAATTGTCAAAAAAATATTATTTAAAAATAATTTTTTATAATAGTTTTAATTAAATTTTTCGTATAATTTTATTTACTAAATTTATAATAATTAAATAATAAATTTAAAATAAAAATATTATCAATTTAATTTATTTTCAAGTAAAAAAATAATTTTATTATAAAAATTATTAAAAATAATCATTATTAAACCTAAAAATTATACTATTGTATTTTTTTTATTAAAATATAATACTAAAAAATAATATCAAATCATAACACTAAACAAAATCATCACCAATATATATATTAATGTTTTATATAATTTCTAATAAAAATATTTTAGTTTTTTTTATCAAAACGCCGGAAACCGCTATCAAAACGCAAGTTGGAAGCTGCGATTAGAAAACACAAGTTTGGTTACGGTTGCGGTTGGTTGCGGTTCAACCAGTCAGTTTTTCAATCGCCCGCAACCGCCAGAAATCGCAATCGCTCCGTTTGCGGGTGGCGGCGGTGCAACCAGTCGGCCCCTGTATCTTCACTAAATCAAGAAGGAGTGCTTTAATTTATGAATCTCACGAAAAAGTCAGTGAGAACAGAAAAAGAAAAAAATTCAAAGAAAATAAATAAAAAAATTCAGATATAATTTAAATCTATGGCGTGCTATGAATCAATTATAATTTGATTTAAAAAAATACAAAGCTTTAAATATAATTTAGACCTTAATTATTAGTATTAGTATATAAAAAATTAAAAAAACATAACACATGTCACTATCTTAAGAGGAATGTACTTATATATATATATATATATCAATAAAGAGTCTTTGATGGTAATCCCATTTACCTAGAATTTCTGATTTTCTTTTGACGGGGAAGATATCAATCTCGTTGTCTTACTGCTTGTCCGATCTTCTCCAGAGAAAACATGTTTTGGATTTAATTCTTGATTTCTGTTGTTTTCTTTTCTTTCTGAAAAATCAAGTTGAAGAATATGAAATCATGGTTATATGCCAAATAACATGAAATCTAACAAACTTACATGTGGGCAATAAAATACAACATGTACACAATTAAACCAAAAAATAAATGAATCAACTCTAGTACTCTAAATTGGAATCACAGTTCATCTTGTCGAGAGCTGCATGCTCTTATTTGCCGGTTATAGCAGAGCAAGTCAGAGAACTGTATAATTTTGATAGCTTTTTGTTACTAACCTGGTGTCTCATGTATTGTCCGGAAGAGAAAAAAAATAGAGTTTCTAAAAAATCTACAAGTATGGAAGTTTACATTCTCTAATAGTCACGACCTTGACGTAACAAAAAAAAAAAAAAGACTTTTAATGTTTCACGCTCAAAGAGAAATCAAACACATATTTTGGCAAAAAAAAATCTACACATGATTTATATAATGTCAAAGATGTTCAGTTCATCTTCTCTGACTCCTCAGACTCTGTGGTTAAATGCATATCGAAGGACATTTGATTCTGGCCATTAATCTCCATAACTTCCCCCTACTTTTTAGTTACGAAATTATTATTTCTATGGACAAATTGAGATTTTTTATATTTTTAAATTAAAAAAACACGTATCACCCTCTTCTTAATCACTGTATTTTTTATATATAAAAGATCTTACAATTACTTGGGATTATTTTAATTTTGTCTTTTATACATAATTAGTATCCAATGCTTATATTTTGATACGGTTAATCAAAATTATTTTTCATGGAATTAAAAAATAATAGTTATATCTACTTATAAATATTGTGTAGAAGACAAGACCATCATCTCCACCACTCGGCCCATTCCGTCCAAAAACCCTATCTGTTCCACATCCACTTCAATGGCCTACCTATTTCTTCTTTCCCTCTGCCTCCATTTTCCTCTGCCAATTAAATTTATTTTCTTCAGATTCAGACATTTTTGTGTCGTTTAAGGCGAGGAAAAAAAAACTTTCCAGGGACAGGGGAAAGACGAGCAAAATTCAAGGATCGGCCATGGCTTCTGTGAATCTGAATTCGTGGGTTCACCCTTGCTCTTCCTCTTTTATCAGCCGAGCGAGAAGACGACCCAGATCCATACCCGGATCCGGATCTGGGTTCGGGTCTGGATCCTCTCTCAAGAGCCTCTCCGTCGTCATCGGGTTGAAGCGCAGCGTTTTGACCGTCGTCTCCTCCGTCGTCATCAGAAAAGACAGCACTCTCCGGGAGGAAGAAGATAACCGGAAATTGGCCTTCGATTTCAAGTCCTACATGATCGGTAAGGCCGAATCGGTGAACAGGGCTCTCGACCTAGCTGTCCCTCTTCGCGAACCCACCAAGATCCACGAGGCGATGCGTTACTCTCTTCTCGCCGGCGGCAAGAGGGTGAGGCCGGCGCTCTGTCTCGCTGCGGCGGAGCTAGTCGGTGGCGAGGAGTCCGCCGCCATGCCCGCCGCGTGCGCCGTCGAGATGATTCACACCATGTCCCTCATCCACGACGATCTCCCCTGCATGGATAACGATGACCTCCGCCGCGGCAAGCCCACCAACCACAAGGTCTTCGGCGAGGACGTCGCCGTTTTGGCTGGAGACGCGCTCTTAGCCTTCGCGTTCGAGCACATGGCGGCGACGACGGAGGGGGTTTCGCCGGCGAGGATGGTTCGGGCCGTTGGGGAGCTGGCGAGGTCGATTGGGGCTGAAGGGCTAGTCGCGGGTCAAGTGGTGGACATAAGCAGTGAAGGGTTGAAGCAAGACGACGTCGGATTGGAGCTTCTGGAGTTCATCCATGTCCACAAGACAGCGGCTTTGCTCGAAGCCTCGGTGGTTCTCGGGGCGATAATGGGCGGAGGATCGGACGAAGAGATCGAGAAGCTGAGAAAGTTCGCCAGATGCATCGGGCTTCTGTTCCAGGTCGTGGACGACATCCTCGACGTGACGAAATCGTCGCTGGAACTGGGAAAAACCGCGGGAAAAGATCTGATCGCCGACAAGCTGACGTACCCGAAGCTGATTGGTCTGGAGAAATCGAAGGAATTCGCTGAGAAATTGAACAGAGAAGCTCAAGAACAGCTTCAAGGGTTCCATTCCGACAAAGTGGCGCCTCTAGTGGCTCTGGCCAACTACATTGCCAACAGACAGAACTGATGTTCGATTGATGTGGTCGGCATCATGATAATATATATATATATATAGGGGGGTTTCTCTGAGTTTTATTCCCGAATAATCCATCTGGGATATATATATATATAGATGTGCCCGAACAGTGTTGAGAGGCACATCAAGTATGATGACAACAGGGGAAAAAAAGGATGTATTCGACTTCCTAATGCAATAATTCTTGGACAGAAATAACAGAGAGTAGATTCCTGGAATTGTACTTCCATAATCATATTGTTGATCTATATAAATTCGTATAATGGGTTTTGTATCGGATGAGATCCATGCTGAAAAATCCGACTGATATGTTCTCTCACAGTGGCAGAGCACCTCCTTATTTGCAGATCTTGAGGTTGAAGACGAATCATCTCTATAATGATGGGCTCTATGTATGTCACGTGCGCAACACAATCTGATCCTGGGATCTTCGACGCATCGACAATGGAGTAGGGGATTGGCCCATTCAGGCTGAGACATCTTGATTATTGTCTGCTCACATAAGTTAAAGGGAGCAAAATCGAATCTTTCTTCTCTTCTCCTCTGTTTCAGAGAATCTTTAGCTTTTGACCCTTTCGATCGCTGTCCTGAATCCTAGATTTTCCTCTCTGATGTCCTAAATACCGATCTCTTTAAATAGTCTGCATCATCTGGTCGGGATTCGAATGGCTAGACCTAAAACAAGTCTCGAGGTTTAGCTTCAATGTTCATGCCGTATGCAAGGATTGCTTCAGAGATTTTTGAAATGCTGTCACCTGAGAAATCAGAACGTGATCATCTTGTTCAAAGATTAAAAACAATGGTTTTGATTGATCTTGTCCTTGAATTCATGTGGTGATCAGGATGGAGATGATGTCTTGACGATGGTGGTGTAAAAGCTATATGCCTGGAGACGATGGAAGACTGGTTTCCTCGTACTTTGTCTGATTCAAAGAAACTGCTACGGATCTCCTTGAGTTATTTCTTAAGAAGAGGCTTTTGTAAAAGGTTTATTAAAGATATAAGTATGGTTTCTGTGTTGCTATGGCGGAAGTCTCTCTGTGCAAAGGGCATGGAAAAAAATGATCCTTTTTGAACCCTCGAAGCTATAAATACTTACGGTTTTCATGGACGATTGATGATTTACCTGTGAACCCATGCGTTCCTCTGCCTTCCTTCGAAACGCCGGAATCGCAATCCGCCATTGCCGGAGCTCTGTTTATCATCTTCACTCTCCAGCCCGACCAAAACCCAAAACCCCCAACACACGATTCTCCCAGAGACGGCAACCAGACAAAACCCAGTTCCCAGAACAGAGGATCTACACCAGAGACGTCGTATCCAACATCTACAAGTTCCTCAAGTACTCTACTTGGGAATCCGCTCAAGAACAGCTCCGAAATCTCCGCATCAGATGGGATTCTCACATCATCAACCAGGTTCTGAAAACCCATCCGCCGATGCAGAAGGCTTGGCTGTTCTTCAACTGGGCTTCCGATCTCAAAGGATTCAAGCACGACCATTTCACTTACACCACCATGCTCGATATATTCGGGGAAGCGGGTCGGATCCAATCCATGTTCTTCGTGTTCGAGCAGATGAAGGAGAAGGGTATAAGGATCGATACAGTGACGTATACATCGCTGATACACTGGGTCTCTAACTCCGGCGATGTCGACCATGCGATCAGACTGTGGAAGGAGATGTGCGATAATGGGTGCGGACCAACGGTCGTGTCGTACACTGCGTACATGAAGATACTTTTCTCCCATGGGAAGGTGAAAGAGGCGACAAATGTGTACAAAGAGATGTTGCGGTCGGGGATTTCTCCGAATTGCCATACTTACACTGTGTTGATGGAGTATCTTGTCGGAACTGGTAAGTTGCCTTCCCGCTGCAAATTTTCCAGCACACCAAGTGTTTGTTGAAATGTTTAATCGAAGGTTCGTGGTCAATGTGAGATGAAAAGTAAAATATGAAAACTTTATGCCCAAATGGAGTAGAAGCAATCATCCTTAACAGCAGCCAGATCAAATCCAATGATTTAAAGGTTGTAACTTGGATTTTATTTTCTGGGTCCTGAAATGTCGTGTTTGCAGGATGATGATGATGATGATGATGATGATGATGATGTTGTATTGGTTATTTCTTTTGATTCCCAGGAAAATGCGAGGAGGCCCTTGACATTTTCTTCAAGATGCAAGAAACTGGTGTGGAGCCAGACAAAGCGGCCTGCAACATTTTGATAGGGAGAGCCTGTAAATCCGGGCAAACATCTGTGATTGATCAAATTCTTCTGTACATGAAAGAGAACGGTCTTGTTCTTCGTTACCCCGTGTTTCTTGAGGCTTTGAACGCTCTGAAAGCCGCAGGTGAAAATGATGATCTTTTGAGAGAAGTCAATCCCCATATCTCTGCTGAATCTGTAAGCTCCGATGCCATGGACGAGAGCGTTGATGTTGAAGCTGAAGATACAGTAAGTTTAGAAAACGGAATTATCGGGTTTGTTCTCTTGAAGAAGCAGAACCTGGTTGCAGTTGATGTTCTACTGAACGATATGAAGGATAAGAACATAAAGTTGGAGCCTTTGATCGTTTCAGCCATTGTAGAATCAAACTGCAACAATGGCAGAACCGAAGGAGCGTTATTGGCCTTTGATTACAGCGTCAAGACGGGAATTCGTCTCGAGAAGACAGCGTATCTTGTGCTAATAGGTAACTTGATGAGAAGAGATGGTCATACCAAAGTGGTAGAAGCTGTCCAAGAGATAGTCAAAGCGGGATACTCGCTCGGTCTGTACAATGCAGCAATGTTGATCCACAGGCTCGGGTTTTGCAGAAGACCTCGTTTAGCTTCACGGGTTTTCGAGCTAATTCCCGAGGACGAGAAGGGCGTCGTCACTTACACCGCGTTGATCGGTGTGTATATCTCTGCAGGGAGTACAAAGAAAGGGTTGAAGATATATGGAGAGATGAGACAGAGAGAGATCAGGCCGTCACTTGGGACATACAATGTTCTGTTGTCTGGTCTTGAAAGAGGAAATGATTTCCAGAAAGAAGCAGAGTCTTTGAGAAAGGAGAAAAAGAGTCTTGTCTTTTCTTGCCGTTTCCGGGAAAATGTCACCGTCGATGAGAAAATATGCGATCTTCTCTTTGCCGGATATATGTAAGCCCTAGTAGTGTTTGTTATACGAGTTCCTCGTATATATTTTCATTTTTTTAGATACATAAATTTTCCACTAACCAATTTCAGTTTAAATGCCATTTAGAGTTCGATTTGATTTTTACTGTTTAAAAAAATTACTATTCCGTTTTTGTATTGAATTAAATCAATTTGATTTCTATTTAAATTTTATTTTGATTTTTATTAAAAAAAATATTTGTTTCTAATTTTTAAGACTATTTTTATATTGAATAATAATATTATGTCGGGATTATGTGATAGGATCATATAGTTATCCTACACCATCGACCACAATGTGGGCCCATCTTTGTCCCCTCCGAGAAGTTTGCAACTGGTGGCGGTTTTACTGTCCACGTGTCATTTAATAACTGGCTGTAGTTGAAGAACTCTTCAAATATCCATTTTATTAGCGAGATCGATTAACAAAAATAGGTATAGTTTTCATATGATATGATCGGACGGCTCCGGAGGCACCGAATTCCATCCGCCTAACCTATCAGAACACGTGTACGGTCTGGAATTAACAATATCTCCTAATTTCCCGCGCAGAAAGAGTTGCATAAAACGAATATTCGGGATACAGTTGAATTTATCGTGTTTGTATCAAAATCTCGTTTTGAATTTCTCGCCTCTGAGGGCTAGCTATCCTGCTATATAAGCCATTATATCGCAGTCGTTAACGAAGCGTGTTTTGCGATATTATATATTCAATCTTCAAATTTTCTCTAAGAATTTTCTGGCAATGGCGATGAGGAAGCCATTGATGCAGCGTCTCTTCAACATCTCGAAGATGACGTCGCAAAGTCTCATGAACTGTCGTATATCGTCGTCTACGTTGGCCGTGAGGACTCGGATTCCGAAAGATCCCAGCGAAGCCGACATCGCTCCGGAGCCAGGAGACGCCTTTGTGAACCGGAGGTTTCTACACCAGAGCGCCATGATCCGGCCGGAGATTCTGAAAATTCCGATGGGAGGGAATCTCATGGATAAGCTCCGGGAGATGGATTTGCACGGGGAACGGATACGGTTGGATAGACTTGCTCCGCCTATGAAATCCGCCGTGGCGATTTTCGATGAGGAGGAGGAGGAAACGGCAGGACTGACGGTGGAGGATGCGAGGAAGCTGCTGAGAGCGGCGCAGATCGAGGCCGTGAAATCGAGGCTGACAGATACCGGGAGAAGCTGGATTTCGTACGCGGAGTTCGTCGGCGTCTGCGGAGAAGCTTGTTCGGATCCTGATCATGGATCGCAGATCGCTAAGATCCTGGACGATTCCGGAAACGTCATCGTTTTGGGGCAGTTGGTCTGCCTCAGGCCTGATCAGGTAGTTTGCTCGTTTTCCTGACCTTTTTTTCACCATTTGGAATCTTCATCTGCAATTTGGTGGTTTATCTCTGTGATCTCTGAATCTGCAGCTATTGGATACAGATTAATACATTAGTTTATACCGACGTCTATGACCTTGAGTTGAGAGAGAGGAAACTCTCTGAAAAACCTAGGTTACCAGAAAGTTTTCTTTGATTCGATTATGATCTGAAATCTACCGAATACTAATACGGTTTTTTACGGGTGTATTTCTTTCTTGTGATTCAAATTCAACAGGAGATTGAAACCTCTGTTACCAGAGACCTGTAGGAGATTCTCCCAGTTTGAGATGGTGATAAAGAAGATCGATTTCTACGGAGACTACAGCTTTTTTATCCGTTCAAAACCTTGGGTTGGAAAGGCTGACACTGCCTTTTCATCCCTTGATGATTTGATCCCTATACCCATATGAAAATTTACAATAAGTGAGAGCTGGAAAATCTTTAGGTTATATGATGGGTCACAAACTAACAGTGTCTCTGATCATTGGGCAAAAATGCCAGAAAGGGATTTTGGGTCGGGTTATTCAGGGGATTGGTCGTTCTCTGCATTGGTTCCTTGGTAGTAGCTGAGCTTAGTGAACTAGTCTAACCATGAATTTGGGGAAGAAGTCTGTCTTGCCATTTAAGTAGGTCTTTGATCATTGGACATGAGGATTGGGCTGATTCACTGACCAGAATCCATCGTTAACATAGCTGTGTTCTGTGTGTTTGAGTGCTAATTCTGTCCAAAAATAAAGCCCGGAAGAGGGAGTCTTGTTTTACACACAAGTTTTTTTCTTTTGTTCTTTTCTCTGTGTCCTGCTTAGGTCACGAAATCAATTGAAGGGCTGCTTCCTCTTCCTTGTCTACACAACCGGAATGACCCCAGAAGAAAAGAGCTCGAGGATCTCGAAGGAAAGAAAGCCGTGATCGACAAGAAAGCCCACGCATTGGCTCGGAGAGAGCTCTGGTCTGGTCTGGTTTACTTGATTGTCCAGACCGCAGGTTTTACGAGGCTCACGTTCTGGGAACTCACGTGGGACGTAATGGAACCGATCTGCTTCTACGTCACGTCGGCTTACTTCATTGCGGGATACGCCTTCTTCCTCACGACCTCGAAGGAGCCCTCCTTCGAAGGGTTTTACCAGAGCCGGTTCGAAGCCAAGCAGAAGAAACTTATGAACCGTTTTGAGTTTGATGCCGGGAGGTACGAGGAACTGAAGAAGCTGTTTCCTCGCAAATTTTAGGTGTCTTATCTAATGGATTATTGATTACCAGATCGAAACCATGATCATGATAATGGTGTCTGACTGAAAATTTTGAAATTTCGATATTGTAGTAACCTTTTTTCTTTTGTTTAGCGTAGGTGCGGCTTTTGTAACAATCCTGTAAGAGTGCTTTCTCCTTTCCATTTTTTTTCCGTTGTCCGTTGTAATTTCTTTTTCCGTGATCGTGAATGACCGATCCAGACGTGAATCATGGCTTATTATACGTAAAATACAAATGCAGTAACAAAATAAATTTAAAAAAAACAGATAAACAATCTGACATATTAACCAGTTTCACCGTACATGTCAAAGCGGTGATCTATGAAGTCTGGTTGGCCGGGGAAAAAAAATCAAAGTCTTAATATTATTTAGTATTTTTTTGGTGTTTATAACTAAAAGCCCATATTATTGGACCTTTTACAAACTAAAGCCCATAACATTGAGCCTTTTATTAACTAGAAGCCCTTTTTGGACTTTTATAACTAAAAGCCCGTATTATTATACCTTTTTTACAAACTAAATCTCATAAAATTGGGCTTTTATAAACTACGAGCCCATATTTGGGTCTTTACAACTAAAAGTCCATATTATTGGACCTTTTACAAACTAAGCCCATATTTTTGGTCCATTTATAAATTAAAAGCCTATAAAATTTGATCCATTATAACGAAAAGCCCATTATAATAATTTATTTATTTATTTTTGTAAAGTTTGTAATTGTCCCTCACGGAAATCGAGGAGATTACTAAAGGCTAGAGAATTGTTTTCAAAGGAAAACCAGATGACAGTCACAAACAGACTGCAACTTTCACCAGGGCTCAAAGGCGACAGATTTCTTTAACGACAGTTCGATACTTTTGATTTCTTCCATTGTTTGTTTCCTTTGAAGTTTCTTGAGATTTAGGGTTCTTCGATGCGGTTTACCGCTGCTATCAGCGTTCGATCGATCGAATCCACCGTATAGGTCAGTGATTTTTCATCTCTCTCTGTTTTTTTTTTCTGATTGTTTGATCCAGATTTTCGTTCAATTTCGATGCGCTACAGCAGTATTTTATTTTGATTTTCCGACGAAGAAATTGTAGATGATTTTCGTTTCCATTTTCACTGAGAGATCTAGGGTTTTCGTGGCGGATTAAGCCCTGTGATTTCGGTACGCGGCCGTGTTTACAGCACTAATTGGAATTGTAGATTTCTAGGGTTTTAGCTTATTCGCGTAATAATCGCTTTGCTTTGCTTTGCTGCTAAACGATTTCTAGGTGTTTTTAGTCAATTGTGAAATTCATTCGGTTAATAACCGAACCGATTCAAACCGAATAACATATAATCGTAACCGAACCAAGTTATTTAGATATAAAACTGAATAGTTATGATTTCTCTAAAATTGAATCCGGTTCCGGTTCCGAATCAAATAAAAAAATAATCGAAAAAACTGTTCGTAACCGAACAAATGGAATTCATTTAAAAAAATAAACGATTATGTTTTTTCTAAAACTGAGATGATCGAATCCGAATATAATTGAACCGAAATCCGAATAAACCATCTCTAATTACGCATAATACAGAGATTTCATTAGCAAATGCTCTCAGGATTTGGTAGTTTGCGCAAAATTTTGAAGATAATATTATATATATATATATATATACATATATAGATAGATTCAAGACAGAGGTTCTTTGCTTGCTTCCACATAGTCACCATAGTTGTCTTGGTCGAGTCTCTGGTCCTTCTTCCTCAAGTGCCTGTAGTAAATGTACTGCAATATTATCTGTCAGCGGATTTCGGGTTAAGGTTATATTTTTGGTCCGTTCTTAGGATGAATTTGAATATTCTGTAATGAATTTTGTGTAATGGAAATAGAAATTAAATTAAATAGTTAAAAAAAAAAAGGGATACGAATAGATCAAGTGCCACGCAGACAACCGCATCCAGCAACCATGGGAGATTGGCTTTTATGCTGTCCCACTTTGTTGTTCTGACAAGAATACTGCGTCCAAAAAAACATTTGAAGATTATATTAACCATAAAAATAAATAAAATGATACGATTTTATATGCGAATGTTCATGATACTGCCCACGTGTATAATAAAATCCCACCTGCCCACGTATGTGACATTTGCGATCAGAGCGAATACGAACATGAGTGGATTCAATCCCTGCATTTTTTAAAAAAAAAATATAACAAAGAGTTAATTTTTTTTTTTTAAAATCTTCGAAGAGCATGAAACAGTTTTTTTTAAAATGATATTTTTTTGTATAGTTTGCAGTGATTAGGGTTTACCTCGACGCTTCCTCGTTTGATCTGATTAGTAAGCATAATCACAAAAAAAAATACTATTAGTAAGAGATTAAGATTAAATGAATAATTAAAAAAAACATGGAACGAAACTTGGAAATATATAGAGCTTTTTTTTAATTTTGTTACGTTAAGCCAAATCTGAGGGATACGGCCGCCCATGTAAATAGCAGCCATCAACCATCCCAAACACTGTCCTACCACACTATGCTCCATTACCCTTTCCTGCACCATTACTAGCCATGGTTATACATACATATATATACACAAAATTTCGGATAAATTCATACACGTCAATTTGCGAAACGGGTATCTACGTACTTGCAGTAGCCGTCTGGCCGAGGTGGTCGTGTAAGCATCCATCAAACCCTTGGCCTGAAACGGAAGGTTAACCGAGGCTGCCAAGAATGTTCCATAACCAGCCTGTTAAAAATAAAATAAAATTCAAAACGTACCCATGGGCGGACCAAATTCGTGTTCTGTCCCCATTCTTTTTTTTTTTTTTTTTATAAATTTTTCATAAAAAAATGTTAATATGCCCTCATAATAAATTTAAATTTACTCCTAAAATTTTTATAATCAATTTCCTATATTGCCCCCATTTATAATTTTTTTTCCAGATCGTTGAGCATACCCAACTTTAATCATCCCTTTTCTCGCCCGAATCATTAGGATAATCTCAAGGTGTATCCAATGGGGACAAAATAAAAATAAAAAATTGTTTCTAGGGGACACAAACCGGTCTAGGGATTGGTCGGGGCTGCGTAATGGACTTTGTAGTGACAACGTTAATGGTGTTCCTAGCCGTGTCTTCTTCGTCATCCGAAGATGAACCACTGTCTATCGCCATAGCCGAAGGGCCACTTTTCGCCGCCCGAAAGTACGACGATCTGAACGGCGGCGTTCCACTTCCGGCCAACGATCTCGCCGATCTGAAAGTTCCACCAAACCGGTCATTATCAAATATTCAAGAGTAATCCCATTGTTTTTTTTTTTTGCGGATTTGTTTTTTTTCGTACAAGATAGAACCACCACCAAGGAATCTATAAACCCTGGTCCCAAACACAACTTGTAACTGTTCACGACCGTACGTTATGGTTATATGGTTATACTTGCTTTGTAACCTAATGTCTGTGTATACGCTAAAGATGTTATTATTGCAAGGATTGCTTTCAAGAAGGTAGGCCAAGAGAAAAACACATTCATAAAATACTATTGTATATATACTTTATAACAATTTAATGTTATTATAATACAAAGCTGGTTATTGCATAGATCTTATCGATATAAGCATGTCTTGCAAAAAAAAAGTTCAATGATTTTCTTCTGCGTTATCTTGTAAAACGACAAACAAACGTGCAGAGGATATGAAATATCACACTTCGTTGTATATATACTGAAGTATACGTATAATTTTTTTTGTATACGTACGTGAAATAGTATTCTGTGCGAGGAGAGGCCTTGTGAGATCCTCTTGGTATGGGAATGCCGGCGTCAGTCGTATTTTGCGGCTTCAATGGCTTATCCTCATCATCTCCGACGTCCTTTGAACGTAATAATGTATAACAACATTCAGTAATCGTATCTTATATATATATATGTATTTTTTTTAATCCAATTAACCAAACGATTAAACATCAATTGATAGTATTTTGTACCTTTGGCAGGACTTTGGTGCGTCTGCGTTTGCAAAGTCGGTAGATGTGGTCGTAGTAAATGCTTTGTAGGACCAACACCACAGTGCTCACCGTGTAAAGCTGCAACAAGAGCAAAGTAGTGGGTTTGGGTCAAATCTTCAAAAATTCCATAATTATGGGGCTAAATCGAAACTAAGATACAGTTAGGGGACATAATTATAATTTTTAAAAGATGCGGGTGCGGTGGCTAATTATGGAAAGGACACAGAATCTCTGGGTTTGAGTTGAAGGCTCGAGATGGAAGACATATGTAAGAAACATCAACTGCGAGGATACTTACAAGAGCGGTGTAGAACTGAGTTGGCAACTGCAATAATAACGACAAGAGAATCATTAACATTTGATATACGATTGTATATATACATATACATATATACATACATACATATACATATAGATGGGTATATGATATATAAGATGAGTACTCACAGTTGCTGGCTCAAGAAGACAACCGATGAGATTGAATATATCACTGCAACCCAATCGATAAGTCATCATCAACTGTAGAGCATGGAAAGCATATATATATATACAGCCAACTATGTATGTGTGTACGGACCCGGCGACCCAGGCGAGGAGGAAGGAGAGGGAGACGCCATGGCTGGATTTGGTACGGAAGTTGGTGAAGATCTGAGGGATCTCGGCGACAGCCCAGCAGACGAGGCTGACGATGCCGAGGGAGAAGGAAACGTCGTCGTTTAGGGTACACAGGCAGTCCCCGAAGTACTTCTCCACCCACTCCACGCATCTCTTCTTCTCCTTCACGCAGTATCCCTCTCTGTTATTCTCCCCAACCATCTCTCTCTCTCTCTCTCTCTCTCTCTCTCTCTCTCTCTCTATGCATGTGGTTCGGGAGGTTCCTGGTTGAGCATTTTAATAAGAGAATGGGCAGTGGAAGATGACAAAAACCCCAAGAGAGAGATGGGACCATTGTTTATGATGATGATGTATTGTATTATGCCGCCTTCCGGGCATTATTATTATATGTTTTATTATTATTGTTGTTATTCTTATTATTATTATTAAAACGCATAATCTCGCTATTTTTCTTGATCGTGAAATCCCAATGTAACTGATTACTATTCTGAGAGTGTGGGAGTTAAACTTGTGCATTTTTGCAAAAATATCTCCGAGCAACAAATATATGGGCTCTTACCATTTTACAAAAAATATTTTGTTATACTTATTTTAAAATATTTTACATAATTGATATTTTTATATATGCCGAATTGTATATATTAAATTCAATTATTTTAACATAAATTTATTGTTAAATTTATCATTAAAATTTTTTAAGAGGATTTTTTATTAAATATAAAAATAATATTTCTTCGAATATGATTATTGTTGTTATTTTTTTTATTCCGGATGATTTTAAATAAAAAAATTATTAAAATATTGAATTTAATAGTATTATTTACCATATTTTAAATTAAAGTCAATATTTTTAAAAAAAATAGATTTATTAGAAGTTCTTTAACTCACATTTTAACATTAAAAAATATTTAAATTTTAGGTTTAAAAATACTAAAAATATTATATTTTACCGTTATAAATTTGAAAATGACAAAAAAAAATACTAACTAATGTTTAAGATTTTGCAGTTTTTAAATTATAATCGTCATCTAGATTTTCTATATACATCTAAAAATAAATCTAAATAAATCTTTAAAACTCGGTTTTTAGAAAATCATTCTCTTTTTATTTCAATATACGCATCTAAATATTAATCGCATATCCTTTTTAATAAAAAAAAACTATAATTAACTTTTAAGGTATTAAATATTTATTTTTAAAATACGACTATTTATATTATATATGTGCTTTTAATAAAATTAAATGTAGAGATTTTAAAATTTTAAGTTTAAGTTCGGACTCTAACTATTTCATGTGACTATACACTTTCAAACCAAAGCAGAGCAAGATGAAAGATAAGATCTATGGGATCTCCACATCATATGCATGGTCTACATCATATGTATGTGTTCCCGATTACCTTAGCTACGTATATATATACACACACGAAAATATCTTATTCAATAAAATTATAGAGAAATTAAAGAATTTTATACGCCTGCGAAAGCTCACGTGATTTGCGACATGAAAATGATAATATATAGTATCAAAAATATTTCAATTAATATGATTCAAAAGTAAACTAAGAGATCCTTCTATATATTATGTGTGGCAATATTAATAAGCATATTCTCTTGCTTGATGCTCTAGTGCTCTAATATATAGTACATTGTACGTCTCAAATTTCTAAAAAAAAATAATTCTAGAAATCGACAAAATTATAATTTGGTATAATTTTGTGGTTCGGCATATTCCTTGCGAGTTTCCTACAGTTCGTTTGCCTCTCTTTACCGCGATTGGCTGACACGAATCAACGATCCATATTTATTCGACTGAGGGAAAAAGGACAAATAAATAAAGGAAAACAATAAAAGTAAAAAGTAAAATAAATAAATAAATAAATAAAACTAATGGTACGTGGGAAGCATGATGTTCCGATGATGACATTTTCCAGAGATCGAATTTCGATATCAATTTATTTACGGTTGTTGTAATTTAGCATTGCTTAATAAATTACTAATTAGCTCTCTCGCCATAGATAAATCCAAATTTAATTATTGAGAAAGTGGGGATTTCCGATATTTTATTATTTTATTACTTATTTTGAAATGAACATACACTAGCGAGCGGAATAAGGGGACATGACCATTATTATTAATTACTCAAATTGGTCTAAATTTTGATATAAAAGAATACATATCGCCTATTGCAAACTCTTGCAATTTATAGTCAAAAGATATGCACTGAATAGTATCATGGCCGGATTTATTTGATATAAAGTGTATAAGGTTACCTATCCTTTATAAATTTTGATATATATATATATATGTAAAGTTTTTTTTTGGAAAACCGGGTTTTCTGAGGCGAGATTCAGACTAATCTCGGGGTCGAAAACCAGCCATGTGATTTGAATTATACGTTCTCTCCTCAATCTGGAATTCGAACTCGGGGCGAAACAGACGTTTTGCGCTACCGTTTCATCGGTTGAACTATCGAGGTTGGATGTATATATATATATGTAAAGTTGTTCCTAATATTTGATTTATAGAGACATTTTCCACCATTTTTTTTGTTCTTAACTTGTATCATTTTTATATGAACCTTTGTAAGTAAGAAGCACGAATTCTGCAATTCATAGAGAACACGTTTTTTTCTTCGCTCTCATGATATTACAAGTCATCTCTAATCTCATGGCAATAATTTCTAACCACGTCATTATTGATTTTGATTCCCTTAACTGTGTGTGTATATATATATATATATATTCGCATTCAACCAAAAAAATCAAAAACCTTAAACACAGAAAAGTTAACGTACATAAAGCAAACCCTAAAATCAAGATCTAGAAGGCAACGTTTTCTATCACAAATAAACGGCGATAAGTTCTTGAAAATGGTCGAAAGGGTCGGTATCTGCAAATTGAGATCCGTTTTATTAATTTTGTGCGATGGTCTTTCAGTCTTTTGACTATAAACGAAAGGGAGAGGAAATATGGAAATAAATCAAAAACCTTAAACACAGAAAACGACAGAGAAGCGGCGACGAGTGGCCGCGAGAAGGTGTGAGAAGAGATGAGTGGGAAACACGTGGCAGTGTATCTATATATATATCTATGTGTATATATGTATACCGATCAATAAAGGAGAGAGAATCTTCGTTGGAAAATTATTTAAATTCGATGTATATCCTTTACAGGATATTATTTGTTAGGATAACGTTTTCGATTTTATCTTCCCAAAAGTTGTTTTGTCTGAAAGTTCCCCAAACCACACCACATGGTCTCTACTCATCCCCACGTCGTCTCTCTACTCATCTCATATCTAATTTCTTGATCCATCCATTATCATCTCTTTTTTTTTTCATATGAAATACGATCGGTCCACAATTTTGTATGATTTCACATAGTATATGAATATACAGTTTATGCCGATTTATGATTAGTGTCTTTGGCACTTATATATATATATATATACAGGATGGATGAATTATTGGTATAAGTCTAAACATTTGTTTTAATTTTATCTTGCGATTTATGAATTCTTATATAAGATTAGAGTTTATTTCAGTGCACACTTCCTAAAATTGCAAATAGCATAATTCGTGGTTATAGAAAATTCGTTATATATTACTCTTCCATGATCATTAAAAACAATAGTTTTTAATTCAAATTTAAATAGTTCAATCGATAAAACGGGATACAAAATATTTATTTCGTTTCAAATTCGAATATCAGGTATGAGAAAGATGATATATATTTTAAATCATATAGTTGATATATATGATTTGGATATTTTTTTTACGCGTAAAATTGTTTATTGTTATATTTTTTATTTTTATTATTATATTACAATTAAATAATTTATATATTTATAAAAAAATTAATAAAAAAAATAAAAAAAAATAAAAAAAAATAAATATAATGGAAATAAATAACATATATAATATTTGATATCTATTATTATTTTTAAACATATCTATATTTATCTCTAATCATATATTTATTTTTCTATTTTAACAATTTGAACTTCGAAATTAGTTTCGATATCTTGATACAAAATAATCGGATATTCAAAACAAAATTAATTAGTTTTATTTTTTTAACACACAAAAACAAGCATTATGGTTTGTGATTGTGTAATTGTTACATCTCTACATAAACTAGAAGAGACAAGCCCAGAAATGCTGCCAGCAACAACAGGTGGCGAGCATGCATAGTCTTATCAGTTTTTTTAAAAAGATCTTTGCCATTCATTGGTATTTCAATAGAATGCCCATTTATTTTCTTAAAAAAATATCATGTTTTTATTTCTATAATAATATATTTATTTATTTATTTTTGTAGATTGAGTATCCAAAAACAGTATTAGATCTTATTATTGTTATTATTTATGTTTGTGTTTTAAAAACATGTTTTTTTTTATCTCGATGAATAATGTTTAAAAGGCTTGTCAAGCATTCATTGTTGATTGATTTATTTAGAATTTCAACTCATATCATGAGAGATGAACTTTTATTCTATCGGTGATCTATTTCAAACATAAGATCCGAAAATTCGAATATGTTTATATTTTAATTCGAAATCACGTAATAAAAATATGCTATATCCGAATTTGGCTATACCTATATGGGTTATTTCATTTTCAAAATTCGGTATCAATGAATGTAGATATGTCATAAGTATCCACTCTCTGCGTGTGTGTAATTTCTCCATGGATTCATATTGGATTGGAATGGCTTCAACGGGATATTACCAAAGGTGAAAAGCCGTATGCATTGAAAATGCTGTCTCAATCTTCCATTGTCGCGATGCTCTCTATTCATGAATCATGCCATCTTTTCCTAGGGGATGACTGGTAGTAACGCAGTCGTCCGCAATCTCAGTGATTGCGACTTCTAACGATCACAGGCGATTGAAAAAGTGATTGTTAAAATCGCAGTCGTCCACGATCACAACAAAACAACAATATTCTAATCCAATGGAAAAAATTACGTTACGATAGCGATTTGCAACGTTTTGGTTAAATAATCAAAATACCTTAATATTAATTAATATACATATATACATACATATCATATTATATATATAAAGAAGTTACGTATGTGTATATATATATGAAATATATAAATACATATACATATAATACATATATATATACATACACATATATACATATATATATACAAACATACATATATATATATATATACACAAACAATCATATGTACATACATACATCTATACACACGTATACATACATACATATACATATACACATACATATATATATATATACACACATATATATAAATATATATATACATATATATACATATATACACACATATATACACACATACATACATATATATATATACACACATATATACATATATACATACACATATATACACATACATATATATACATATACATATATACATACATATATATCACACATACATACATATATACACATACATATATTTATATACATAATACATATATACATACATAAATTAAAAAATATATATTAATAATTTTGTTTGGTATATATTATGTTTGATATTATTTGGTTTTACCAATAAATATTTTTAAAATATTTTTAGTATTAAAATTATTTTTGAAAATAAATAAAATTGATAATAAAATTATATTTTAAAGTTTATATTTAATTATTTATAAATTTAATAATTATTTGTTATTAAATAATAGTAAAAAAACTAATTAAAAATATTTTAAAAATGATTAGTATTGTATATAATAAAATGATGTATTTTTTGTAATTTAAACCAAATCGTAATCGCAATCGCTGTCAACCAGTCGTTATAAATCGCAATCACTCGCAATTGCTATCAACAACAGTTTTTCTACCGGTCAGTACCAATCACCTAGAATCACCAACAAACGCATCGTAAACACCTGCAATCACCGCAATTGCGATTGCGATTGCGATTCCACCAGTCAACACCTTAATATATACACCCTCATTTGTATAATGTCTTTTTCTTATATATATACACATATAATTCCACTTGTTTTTATTATGTTGTGGATAATTTTTTTTATCAATGGAAATTTTGGTTTTAAAGAATAATATATTTTATTGTATTTTTAGGATAATTTCATAAAATATGTATAAAATTCTCTTATTAAGAATATTTTGTTTAATAAAATAATATTTAAGTATGTATATGGATATTCTCAAGTGAGATCCAAACCAATTTCTTAAAAGGTTTGAACAGAGAGCGATTGGTTGCATTGTTATCACTAACAAACGGAGCGGTTGTGATTTCTAACTGTTGAAGGCGACTGAAAAACCGGATGATTGAACCACAATAAAATGTGAAATTTTTAATCGTAATTTTATATCCGTGTTTCGGTAAACGTTTGATTAAAAAGATCAAAATATTTTTAATAATAAATTGTTGTTATTTTAAAATAAATTAAGTTGATAACATTTATTTTTAATTATTTTTAATAATTTTATAAATTTAGTAAATAAATTTTTTTGTCAAATAATAATTATTAAAATCATGTTATTTTGATAATTTATATCAAATTACAATTGCAATAATTATATAGTAAACCATTGTCTTATCGCTACCTATATCATTTTATCAATCATGAATCATCCACGCAACTGCAACGGGCCACCAGAGATATAGGCCCAATACGGTAAGTAAAAACCCAACCCCATTACAAAATCCGCATTAAGCCCATGACCCGGCCCGAATACCCATCTATGAGGGAATTTTGTTTTATTTTTAAAATAAAAGTTTTATTTGATATTATTTATGGTCGTGATTGGTAGGCTGAATTCTTCATGTTAAAGAGTCAACGTGGAGATACGATGCAAAATTCTGTTTCATTTCAATCCTTCTAAGGTTAGACTGAATTCGTCATATCATAATGAACATTATTATTGCATCATAATTGGAATTAGGACGATAATTTCTTCTTTCCCAACTGCGTGGAAGCAACCCAACTTGCAGAACCGCCATTGAAACACCTCCAAGAGTTGACCTTTTCCCCATCCTTAAATCCAAAACCCAACAAAAACTGCAGAAAATTTCTTTCTTTTTTCCCAGATCGGCCTCTGAATCCAGACACCAACACATGGAGTCCCGAATCCAAGTCCTTGTCTTGCTCTTATGTCTCTCTTCCTTCGCCGCGACAACAATGGCGCAGCAACCTTACGTGGCAACAGCGACAACGGATTGCTCCATCTCCGACAACTCAACCTCTGTGCTGGGTTACTCTTGCAATGGCCTCAACCGCACTTGCCTTGCTTACGTCATTTTCCGTTCCCGACCTCCCTTCTCCTCCGTCTCCGCGGTCTCTTCCCTCTTCGCCGCCGACTCATCTCTCGTCTCCGCCATTAACGCCGTCTCTGAGTCCGACACGTTTTCTCCCGACAAACAAGTCATCGTCCCTGTCTCCTGTTCTTGCTCCGGAGATTATTCTCAGGTCATATATACCCAGATTCCGGTTTTTGTGTTCTGTTCTAGGGTTTATCTATTGTGTTAACGATCGAGTTCTTCGTTTTTCGATCTTCAGGCGAACATCAGTTACACGGTTCAGCAAGGTGATTCCTATTTCATCGTAGCGAACGACACGTTACAAGGGCTGTCGACATGTCAGGCGATGGAGAAACAGAACAGCGTGTCTGCTAGGGCGCTGTTCCCAGGTATGAGGATCGTTGTCCCTCTTCGATGCGCATGTCCCACCGCCAAACAGGTTCGTGACGGTGTGAACTATCTTCTGAGCTATACGGTGGCTTTCGGCGATTCAATTATGGCGGTTTGCCAGAGATTCGGGGTCGACACAAGCAAAACCCTAGAAGCTAACGAGCTGTCTTTACAGAATTCGGAGATTTTCCCTTTCACGACCCTTCTGATTCCATTACAGGATCCTCCTTCAAGCACCGGAGCGGCGGGTCCTCCTCCTCCGCCGGTTTCACCGCCAGCTTCGCCGCCGCCCCGGAACGGACAGAGCTCGAACAGAACATGGGTTTATGTTCTTGTCGGCGTACTTGCAGGTGCTGCAGTTTTAGGCGGATTGAGTGTCGCCATTTTCTGTTTGGTTCCCAGGAAAACGAGGACAGAGGAGAAAGCAGAAACCTTGGAGGGGAGTGACAATAACAGCTGCGAAGCGAAAAAAACACCATTCTCGGATCAAAAAACCGATCCAGACGAAATGTTGAATAGCTTGTCAAGCGTAATTGCTGAATCCCTGAAAGCGTACAAGTTTCAGGAACTCCGGTCAGCAACCGCAGATTTCAGCCCGTCGAGCTCAATCGGAGAATCCGGATACCTCGGAAGAATCAATGGCGATTATGCAGTGATCAAGAAAATCGACGGAGATGTATCGGAGGAGATAAACTTGCTGTCCAAACTCAACCATTTCAACATCATCCGCCTCTCTGGGTTCTGTCTCCACAATGATGACTGGTACTTAGTGTACGAACACGCTTCAAACGGAAGCTTAAGCGACTGGATTCATGACAGGAGCCATGGTTCTGTACGGTTCTTGAGCTGGACACAGAGAATGCAGATTGCATTGGGCGTGGCGACAGGGCTTAACTATTTACACAACCAGACAGATCCACCGTATGTCCACAAGGACATAAACAGCAGGAACATCCTCCTCGACACAGATTTCAGGGCAAAGATTGTGAATTTCCAGCTCGCGAGATCGACAGAAGGGGCAAACGGGCAAGATCTTATACTGACAAGGCACGTCGTCGGAACACAAGGGTATCTCGCTCCAGAATACTTGGAACACGGGTTAGTCTCGACGAAACTGGACGTCTACTCTTTTGGAGTTTTGCTGTTGGAGATTTTCACGGGTAAAGAAGCTGCAGAACTAAACAAGCAGATAGACATGGCTAATCGGATGAATCAAGAAGACGAGATATACCGGTTATGGGAGCAGCTCATCGACCCTTCTCTTCAAGGCATCTACCCGGTCGATCTTGCGAGATTCTTTGTCAGATTGCTCGTGAATTGTCTGCAGAAAGATCACGTGAGCCGCCCATCAATGGAGGACATCGCTCAGTCTTTCTCCAGGATCTTGATGGCTTCACTGACCTGGGAATCATCATACAATCTCTCCGGGCAACCGAGTACTTAAACAAGAACTAAATCAGATCATAAGATGCATAAACCGAAAAACCTGTTAAACTGAATCCGTCTTCATAAATAAACAGTTGTTACATGTGATATTTGTATCAATGGAAGGAAAGTATAGTAAATTTTCCACGTAAAGGGCGAAACTTTATACTCCTAATGGTCTTGCTGTGTATTAGCCTATACAGGTTTCTCATGGTATGCCTCTAATATGCCAAAAAACCCGAAGAAAATTCTCTTATAATCGAATCTTTATCAAGGAAATGAACCCGTGATTCGTATATGCTCGAGGGTACTCCTCAGTCCGTACTTAAGAACTGCTTGGTTACCTTGCCTGAACCCTTCCCCATATGCCGACGAAGAATCTGACTCAATCTGGTGCTTGAAAAACTCGCCGAGTCTCTTCTCAAAGTCGGATCTCTCACCTTTCTTGGACGATGAGGAAGAAGATGATGACGAAGAAGAGGATGCAACATCACTTGCAGAACCAGCATATGTCTCGGATTCCAACCACATGTGTGCTAAAACCTGGCATATGCCCTCTTCGACTTCTGGTCTAAGATTCGGATAACCTGTCCATAACAATGCCATTGGAATATTATGAATTCGGTTTCTGCCAATTACAAATTGACAGATATTACGAGAGGAGCAGATTTTGATACCGTTTAGTCTAAGCCATGCATGCATCATCTCGTGAGCAAGAATTGATCCAGTTAACAACCTGTAATCGTATGCTTATACGTTAAATATCATCACGACAAGCTTTGTTGTAAGAGTTAGATAATGTGTTGAAATGGGTAATGTTCTTTACCGAGGAAGTCCGTATAAAATGAGAATTGCAGTGACCTCACACCGACGTATCAGCCTGCACGGTTCTGTGATCATATCTATCAACCGGTAGCCTGCCCCGATCCTCGGTCTCCTCAAAACCTAGTAATCATAGATGGAATCTTCTCATCCCGAAACAGTAGGAACAAGATTCGATATTGTGAGAGAGAGAGAATGGTACCGTTGTGACAGTTTGTTCTTCCGACAAACAAAGTCCTCTAGTCTCGGGTAAATGATGATGTCCCTGCAAGAATTTGTATAGACTGAAGAGGTTAACCGGTAAAAAACCTAACAAAGAAACCAGTTGCTTACGCTACGAAGAACAACTTACGCTCTGTTCTCCTTCCATAGCCTCGTTCAGGGCTGATCTCTCTACCAGAAGCATCGGAATTTGTTGTTCCACTTTCATGTTTAAGCCTTCATAAAATTCTCGTATCTCGAGGTACAATGGCTGGCATTCATGGGTGTCCATGATTGCTGAGTCGAGACATTCAAGACATAGTTTTCGGCCATCATCGAGTATAAGATATCTTGTATCCTTAGGCTGAGCAAAACAACAAATTTCAAACAAACGATATATACCCTTCTCAAGAATTTTCGTTAAATTTCTTGTCCATTTTCCTATCCCGAAGAATATATTCATAGCATTTGTTTACCGACCTCCATTCTTTCACAACTGCAGCACCGAGGAGTTCCATCACGCTCGTGTGAAGGGCAGTACTTTTGCATCCAAAAGGGATGCGCCCTGTACTCGATAAGACCAGCTGGATTTGTGGGAATCTTCATGACAAGATCATGCAGACATATTAAAACTCGGTACCAGTAAAGAAGAAAAGATTGGGAATTAACTGAGCAATAGAGATCAATAAGAAAAGCCACTCACAAAATTCGTGCAAACATCACATCGTGGGTGATGCTGCTCTTTGTAACATGATTTGTGATAAGGTCGATTACTCGACATTGAGAACTGTGAAACAGAGTAGAACACAAATTAGTAAGTAATTTATAGATAAGAGAACAAGATCAGAGATAAAACTTGATGACCATGAAACAGTACAGTCAGTTCTAAACCTCGTAATCTGTGATGGGTTTATTACAAGCATGGCATCGGAAACATTCAGGATGCCAGACAGCACCCATGCAACTGAGGAACCTTCCATGCCCGATCTCAGCATGACAACCAGCACATATCCTACCCAAAACAAGAGAAAAATGTTTTTTTTTTCCCAAGAAAATCGGTCATGTAAGAGAAATAATGTCTCCAGATATATGAAAGCATTTTCATAAATGGTTACTCACCTGTAACTAGATGGAAAGAAGAACGGAAGCTGTTGAAATATACTCCCGGAATCATACCGAGGAGGAGATTCCACAGTCAGACTTTCTTGAATAGCCTTGGCAAGTTGTTCATCTTCCTCCAGTTGAGCTTTGGCACGTCGTCTTTCTTCCTCCTCTAATCGAGCTTTGGCAAGCTGTTTCTCTACTTCTGCTAATTGTGCTTCAGCACGGCGGTTTTCTTCTTCCTTAATCTGAGCTTGAGCAATCCGCCTTTCCTCTTCTTCTGCTGCTTCTAGCTGAGCTCTCATATATTCTTCATCTTCCTCCTCATCTTCATCTTCTTCTTGTTCAGATTCAGATTTGTACTCTAAAAGGTCCATCAGATGGAGAAACCGTGATCGAGATCAAGATCAAGAAAAGACAATACAGCCTTACACCATAAGAAATAGCAAAAAGACAAGCACAAAGATCATAAATAGATGAGATGATCATACCAATTACTTTCTTCCCTTTGTCATGTCGTGGTGCTACTTGATCTTGTTCGGAAAGAGAGAGTGCAATAGCACATTGAATTTCGTCTTTGTCAAAATCAGATCCATCCTGCAACAGTGTTCCATGGGGAATACAGCTTAGAAACACGAGTCCAGTTATACGAAACCCATTTCTGGTATGAAGGTTTTCTTCTCAGGTTCAAGCCTAACAAGAGAAAATGACAAGACAAAAGACAAGAATTCATGAAACTTTCACTTACAGAGGAATAACGGGGCCGGTCCCAACTTCTATCTTCTCCATATCTTCCATTATAGTGCCTGTCCGAAAATTTATGGCTAGAGCCCCGAAGGATTTTCGTTAGCCACCCCATTGGAACCAGCAATCTTTTGCCTGCAAACAGAGAAACAGTCTTCTTAAGGTAAAGCAAGGAAGAACAAGAAATTCAGAAAAGGCAAACTTCCAAGGTACTTGTAGGTAACCATAATACCAAAACAGAGTGCGAGAAGAAAGAATCAGACCAAAATGAACATCCAAGAAATAAGGTTGACTTCACACAACATGCAAGGCATTTGAAGTTGATGATGAAACTGAACAACCGAGAAAGCAGATGTTGGAAGAAACGTATTAAGATTGCATCAATCAAAAGGTTGCCAAATTTTGAAGCTTTTTTTTTTTCTCTGAGAAACATAAATGAACAAATGCAGGAACATATAGCATATACAAAGCAATCCAACGACAAAGAAATTCTGATCTTTTTCCCAAATAAGCTAGGGTTCATCAGTTTGCTGATCCAGGGGAAACACAAAACACAGATTGCAAGCTACAGTACTGTAGCATGTGTCCTTCCCCATTGCTGATGATCTTAAATTCAATACCCAATTGGAGAAAATTCAGTACACATCTTATTCCTTGGTTTTGCTATAAATTTTGAGGAATACGCAAATCGATCTTTCATAAAAAAAAAATTGGAATCAAGCAAAGAACCCACCTTCATCTGACTACCTAGAAACTGAATTCCTATGAAGCATAAGAATGGCATGCAACTCTACTCGATTTTTTCCTGTTAACGGAAAATAATCTATATCTACAAGTGAGAGGGAGAGAGAGAGAGAGAGAGAGAGAGAGAAGTACCTGAAAGCGATGAAGAATCGGAAGGGGAAGACAAAATTAGATGACCCTTTGGATCAGAAAACAAGACCCAACACCCATAATCCCTCAACTTCCTTCAAGGCCCCTGCAAAATCGAATCTTTATTATGTACGAACAACCAATCAGATGAACATTTCAAGCAAAGGTTGAAAGAGAAGGTGGGGGACACTTGAATCCGAAGCAAACCCAACTTTTAGACCCAACCAAAAAAAAAATACGAAGTGGCTAAAACTAATTCTCTGAAAAAGCGTGAAAAAACAAATCAAAGAGAGAGGAATCTCCATAAAAGCTCACCCAAAGGGAGGAACTTTGAGGAGAAGATGAAAGAAAGTGGCTGCGAGGATGAGATGGAGGTTTGTGCTTGGAAAATCTCTTCCATGGGAATTGAAGCTTTTCAAAGCAAAGTGGACCCTCTTCCCAAAATTCACCACATTTTTGTTTTTGCAACAAAAAAGTCCAAAAAATTAATGAATCTCTTGTTTGAAAAACTGAAAAAAAAAAAGACGAGACCTTTTACCTCTGCACTGCATATGCACACCATGTTTGACTCTTTTTCTTCTTCATTTCATGTTTTTTTTCCTGAATATTTTTCTTTCCAATCCGCATGTAATTTATTTTTTATTTATCTTTCTGCACATTTTCCACCATTTTAATCCTCACTTTAATTTTTTTATCATTATTACTTTTTGTGGTTGCGCTTTTATTCGTAGAATGCTCTCAGAGGAAATTCCGTGGTTCAACATTAACGTTGTAGGCCTCAAATACCACCAAAATTCAAACAAACTCTTCCGGACAGAGCTCGAACAGAACATGGGTTTATGTTCTTGTCGGCGTACTTGCAGGTGCTGCAGTTTTAGGCGGATTGAGTGTCGCCATTTTCTGTTTGGTTCCCAGGAAAACGAGGACAGAGGAGAAAGCAGAAACCTTGGAGGGGAGTGACAATAACAGCTGCGAAGCGAAAAAAACACCATTCTCGGATCAAAAAACCGATCCAGACGAAATGTTGAATAGCTTGTCAAGCGTAATTGCTGAATCCCTGAAAGCGTACAAGTTTCAGGAACTCCGGTCAGCAACCGCAGATTTCAGCCCGTCGAGCTCAATCGGAGAATCCGGATACCTCGGATTTTATTCTTTCAGTTTTATAAAAATAGATACCAATTATTTACCATTCGATTTCGGTTCGTTTCCAGTTTTTATTTAAAAAAAATAGATTTTTTTAAAAAGAATCGATTTTCGCGGTGAGTTCGATCCGATCCTAGAAAATTCTGTTTTTCTAAATTACTACCGTCGAAAAATTTTGTACGAATAAAAAAAATATTATATTTTTCGGTTCTATACGATTCGATTTCAAATAACCGAACCGAAACATCGACCATAACTCTCCCACCGACACTTATATGTAAATTAACTAGTATATAATCTATATATATATACATACATACATATAAGATTATGCATAAGCGAAATATTATATTTCTAACTAAATATTCCAAATATTAATATATTTAAAGATTAGTTGGATAAAGAAAATCGGATATTTTTATATAAAAAATTATCCGAAATTTAGAGTAAAATAATGGATAGTTTACTCTAAAAGTCTGCCGACAACAAATGTAGACAGCGAGGGACATTATTAAATTAAAGCAAGTTTTGGATGATATAATCACTATATTATATAATTATAAAATTTCAGATACTGCCAATATGTGGCAGTTGAAATAGTGACGTTTATTATACTCATAAATTAATAAAATTGAATTAAAAAAAATACTATAACAAACAAACACACAAATTTCTCATAATACAGTCGCGAAAATTTGGTAACATTATATATCTTACAAAACAGATTGGTTTACACCTTCCGGATATGACAGATATTCTTTGGCAGTATTTCCCTTGGCATGCCACGTGTCTTTTATTATTTAAAAAGCTTCAATTGGTGAGAACAAAAAAATATAATTGTTTTTTTTTTACAAATAAAAATATATATAATTGTTTGGAGCATGGAATTTAATTGTGTGGCATCTGAATATCTCTCTCACACACACATATACTGATTTCATTTATTACTTGTAATAAGATGATATAATTTTTCATGTTTCGTTTTTTATATGTTTCTCGATAATAATTTCCATAAATAATAATTAAATTCACTTTTATTAGTCTATAAATTATAAATTTTGTTACGAAAAAAATTCTCAGGCATCACATGTTTCGGATTTGCTGGTTGTTTTAAGTTCTTGCCACTTAGCATCAGTTGACTTTACTATTGGACGATAGTTTTACGTATACATTCATTCGTTTATATTTTCTGAATATAATATATATAGCGAAAATGTATTATATATTGGGCCGTATATTGCCTATGCATTGGGCCGAGCATAGAGGCCTTGGGAGCAGTTAATTTGTATCAACCCATGTAACCTTTATTGGGCCTTGATCTTCAGCCTATGTTTGGCCCATATAGGTTGGATTAATAGTGGCAAGCATAAGATTGTGGGCCCAGTATCATTTGGGCCCACTGATAATATTAATCATAATAATAAATAAAAGGAGAACGGGATTTTTAAGCCGGGTGATGGAACAGGCTGTCACAGTTGAAGTTGAGATACGTGGCAAGACAAGACACGTTGATTCCGACATGGACCACATATACCACGTGGCCGTGACCATCCCTTGCTGGGTGTGCCACGTGGACCCACCAGTGTTGAGTTGTCTTCCTAGGACCACCTTTCTTTTTTCTTTTTTTTTGTAGATGTAAATAAGACCGATATTCCATAATGACCAAAAAGGCCTCGTCGTTCATTAAACGCATACATAATACATGCAATATGCGTGCATTTTTTTATTTATAAAATTAGTTAATTAATAATATTATATTGCCTTTCCATTACACATATGCCTTTTTTTCCTCAATAATTCAGAGGTCATTTTCTTCGTGGGACAATATACAGCACCATATTAAGCTTTTAAAAAAGCCACCATGCATTAGTTTATTTCGAACGGTTCAAAAACTGAATCTTGTATATACATACATATTTATAATCTTTTTATATTCTAAAATTATCGAAACATTGATTTAAATCTATATAAAATATACCGAATAAGCAAAATGAAGGGTTCTCACAGGTAAGCCGGACCAAAATTATAAAAAAAAAATACCTTCTCTTGACAATATAACAGATGGGCATTCATATATATATATATGTGTTCTATGACATTGGACAAGATAAACAGTGATAAAAATCCCAGAGATTTGTTACGTTCATTGTGTGCATATATATATATATATATATATATATGCGTGTGTGTGTGTGTATTTTTATTTGTTAGAAGTCGGATAAAAATGCGTTGGAAATATAAAACAAATAATGAGAAATGGGAGACAGGAGACGATGAGAATGTTGGTCCCTTGGCTCAAAAAGTACCGAGTCGGGGGGAAGAAATTGACCGTCACAGAGGAAAAACAGTTCTTGTTTTGTTCTCTATCCCTACATGTCAATTTTGCCTTACTAACCTTTCAAACGAGAGACAAGCATTATATATCACTCCATTACCTTATATATATATATATATATTGGATATATAATTCATGGGCGTTTAGATAACTTATAACATATTTTATACGATTTTATTATTAATTAGCCTTCGACATGTAACGCGTACCAAGTCAACAGTCAACAGTCATTTTCTAATGGGGCACCCACACAGAATATATTTATAGAAACCCGCGTACTGTCTTAAATATACATATTTCATACACATAAATCAGGCTAAAAATTCGAAAAATATTAATTATAATCAACATTTTGTTGTTTTATTTCTTATATATTTTACAAAGATGGCGAATTACAGAATAGCATGACTTCAGGCGTTCAAAACTCAATCATTTGTATTATGATTTATCTTTGTAACTGTTCCTTATGCAATTTTAGAAAATTTGAACCAATGGTGGAGCGAGAGATGACTTTGATACAAATTAAGATCTTAATTAATCCTATTTTCCTATATTTGTCCTATGCATTTATGTGCGTGTAATGAATAAATGAGTACATATATTAATTTATGCACGTAGGAAAGCTCGTTAGTTAGAGCTTAACATCATTATAGGTAAGGATTTTCAAATCTTCAGCTGATATTATAATTAAGGTATGATTGCTCATGATTATGGAAATTACATATTTATTAATGACGTGTGTTTTTTCGTTTGATTATATCGCCACAAATATACAACGACATGCTTTTTACAGCATTATATACACACAAACATGAATATCAAATCAAAATTCAAATAACTTGGGTCAAGAATCAATATATATAATTTTATATGGTCAAGGTCATATATTAATCGATTATATGTGATCTGTGATGTATAATTATATAATAATTTGATAATACGACGGTTCAGCTCGAGGTTTCTTGCACTCATTGCATCGGTTTGGCAATGGTCCTAATGATATCAAAAGCCTAAAACAAGTTAAAGATCACATCCATTCAAAGTCAAAGTGTGCATGCACTGGACCCTAGCAATATCCCTTAGTTAGACCTTTCATATCCTAATATATATTAGCCAAAGAAATATATTTAATTACCTCATTTAATAACATTTGGGTTCAAAACAGTCTTTATACGAAAAGTCCAATTAATATGTAATAATATATAAAAACTAAAACAAAATTCCTCTTCAGTATATATATAGATGACCCAATGGGGTAAAACCATTTGAATCAATTTTTGTGTGGATGAATAGCGGTTAAAATTTGAAGGGAACAACCGTCAGAATCTTAAAAAGACAAAGGAAAAAGACTAGTTAACAAAGCAACAACATGTCATATGCCTAGATTCGAAGGGCCCATGCACGAACTCACACATGCACATATATATATGTGCGTGTATATACATATATATATATAGTACAATTATATATATAAATGGGGCAAATCCCAAAGGGAAAGCAGAAAACATAGTGAACTTGTGGTCACACCACTTAGACAAAGCACTCTTAAGTTGCAAAAAAACAGTATATGCTTAAAAGGCGAGCAGAAGACAAAACAAAAGCATCTAACACAAAAGCAAAAAAAAAAACTAATAAGAAAACAAACGAATAATTAAATAAATAAAGAAGATAACGATAAAGAGAATAAAAAAGACAAAAAGTGGAATGAGGAGAGGGACCATCGCTGCCATTCTCAGAAGCCCCTTTTGTGGTCTCACCCTAACATTACTCATGAATATATATATATATATACACAGATATATACACACACACACATTGTTTGTCTGTGTTTGTGTGTGTGAAAAGTGAACTCATATGATAGATGATGTGTTTTATGCTGGCAATGATGAAAGATCAGAATAAAAGAAAATTGAATCAATAAGGATATACGAGTCATTGTGAAACATTTGATAAAACGTTTTATGTCCAACATATTGATTTTATTGTTTGTTTTTGGGTAGAATCAACATTTTGAACTTAGAGAATATATATATATATATATATATATATATATATTACTTGAATACGTATATTTTGATGTTTGGCGCTTCCTCGTACAAGCGTTATGCTGTTTGTACTGGTATCCTTCTTTTGCCTTTCGTTCTCCCTTTCCCTTTTGCCAAACTCTTTGATCACTACTTTGCCTTAAATATCCCAAATTTCAAAACTAATATAAATGTAATTATATTCTTAATTATCAGTTTTTTATTTTATACATGGCGGAAACTTTATTATAGTCCTAATTTCTCAACCGCTAAAATCGATATTGCCTACAACAAAATTCGGAATTCTTACGCAGAAATGAAACAAACAGGCGAGGGGGCGGGCGTCGGTTTCATAAGGAAAAAACAAGGTGCATTGAAATTTCGCAGCAAACAAAATTAATGAGGAAATAACGAAATGATGATTACTGCGTGTTGTAATTTCATCATTGAATGCTTTGTCGCAATGAGAGCTCATCAGATATTGCGTTGGTTTTCTAAACCCTTGTCTTTAGCGAATCTGCTTTTGCCTTCTTATTAAATTACCTGAACCAGAAACCGAATTTAAGGTTGTCCGTACGTTACATATCCTTTACCCAAAAATCTGCAGTTCAGCTATTACAAGTGTTTGTATATTATATACATATATATATATATATATATATGCACTAATTATGCTGTATGCATTAACCATGCAGTCAAACGAGAACATATGTAATCATGTCGTACTTATTCTCTCTTAGTGCACAACTACGTATAGTAATCACTTGCTCTGGTTATATAATTTATATTTGAAATATATATTCATCCAAATTTCTTTTATCTTTTTTTTTTCAAAAAAAAAAATGATGTCTGTTTTTAGACCGATTTGGTTTAGTTTGATAGGATTCGATTTAGTAGTATAAAAAAACCACGTTCTTCCTCATTTGATTAAAAAATAATAAAAAAGAAATTACTACAAATCCCATTTTTGAATTATCTCGTGAAATTCAATATCTGGAAGTTTTGCATGACTGCTTCCAAACCCTAACCCTAGGGTATAAGTTATAAGATAAAGACCCTAAACCCTAAATGAAAGAGAGAGAGAGAGAGAGAGACTAATAAGGTGGAAAAAATGATGAAGGAAAGGACAAGAGGCCGATAACGTGGAAGAATGGCAATGCATAAGTTAAGTGTATAAAGAGATTTGGCACCATAAACACAACAACGATCGCTTGTAAATGCGTTGAAGAAGGGGGAGACCGATCACACCACACCACACGTGCGAAAAAGGGAGTTTTGGCACGTGACTTATGGTTGTGCAAACGTGTGAGTGGAGGGTGGGATTCACGTGAGAGATTCACCTCACAAATTTCAACAAGAAAAAAAAAACTTGAAAAATAAAAGAAAAAGACATATGTGGTAGGAGAGGAGAAGGTTGGGCTGTCAATTGTCAATCCGGTTTGCAGTTGGAAAAAAAATTATAACTTAAGATCTCATTAAATGTATTTAGAGAATTTTAAGGACCATCTTTCTCCTTTTCCATTTTAATTTTTCTCCATTTAAAGGAAATGAAATGATAGATGAAATTTTTAGGTGGAAGAGGGAGAACTAATTATTTGATCGAAAATATCATGCGTAACCACTTTTCTTATAATTCAAATATGTAATTAATGCATATCTTTACGTAAAATAATTTTAATATACATATATACATAAAATAACTCGCACATTATTTTCAAGGCCATTTTTGAAGATTAGGACTTTGATTTGCCAAAAGACATGGTCTTTGTACCTATTTAAGATATTTATTTATGCATGATTTTCACAATGTTTTCAATAAAAAACACTTACGGAAAAACACCATTAACCATTCGGAAGATTAGTTCAAGAATCATTATTGGGTTGCCATCTTCTCCATGAAAATGCAATATAATTCTAATTTGCAAAATTAAGAAACCTCGGAAGAACACTAGGGTTTGATGATACCTTCGAGTTGGTTTTTTGTTTCACCGCATAACCTCGTGGACCCATTTGTCCCTGCGATATTGTTGTATATGTGATTTCAAAAGGCATTGCTTTCACAAAATTATAAAGGCGCTAATATAGTAAATTCTCTAAAGATATTTGGATACTTTGCATATTTCATATATTAAATGCTAAAAAAAGTGATTGATTAATTAACACTCCCATATATATAATATATATATATATAGACACACACACAACATTATTGGAGAGCATGCAAAGACGATTAAACAAATGTGCACGCATTGTATATAGTGCCCGTGGGAAAAAAGGCTATTTTTCAATTTAAAAAAATCAAAATAAATAAAAGTAGTAATACTCTATAGTGTCCTTGTAGAGCCACTTGAATAAAACTTTAGATTAAATATAAAGATAATTGAACTCAATTTGCGTGCTGAAAAAAATATTGATGTGCTATCTCTGATTCTGACATGATAGATTCCAACATATATGTAACATATGGACAGATTTTCTTGTATATAATATATAAGTGGACTGCACATTAATTCAGCTTTCGACCCTTCCCATTAATTAATTATCCCTTTGTGGATATATAACCTACAATTGCATGTCGAAGATGTCTCTAACCGTTTTCAGGATACACGTGTCAAATCGAATGTGGCAACTTTTCAATAAAACAAACGGATCAATATCAATATGATATGCTTGGACGGTTATATTACAAAGAAGACAGCCGAATCTGCAATTTCCTATATAGAATTCATACGGTACTATATCCATATGTATGCATTTGGCTATCAAATTTAATCATATTAATTATAAAACTTTGGAGAACGAATAACCCAAAAGACCGAACCAATGAATTTTTTTTAATAATCTGAATATTCATTTGGCCTTCGACCCACTTAATCTCCTAATTCCGAAATCAATTTTTAATCACGCAATTAATTGTGCCTCCTCCTCTCCACTAGTTAAATCGAACCCAAAATCTTGAAATAATTTTATCACCCACCAGACCATTCGACCGCCATCTAGTTGGTGACCTGAATCAATGATAATATGTACTATACCACGTCATCCGTCCCGTTAATGAAAAATAGAGAAATTTAATATCGTTTAGAGTCGCTATCAGAAATTGTTAAATTTTAAATCCGAGAGTAACTTTCTTATGAATTAAAAAATTGCGTAGGATATTGATACATTGGTGTGAGTTTTTGTTATTTTTCCTGTAATATACAATAGGATACTACATATAAAACATGACACGCGATATTTATCAGCTATTACAAAAGGTAATTATATTTTGTAATCTCAACAATTTGTATTTACATAATAATAAAGATTTAGGATAATAATTAAAAAAAAAGGAAAGGACATGAGTCGAAAGGAGAACATGCTCATCTCGACATTGCCAAACCGGAAAGCGGTTATATGTGGTTTTCATAAGCAATCGAGATCCCCACACAAACCTAACTTTGTCACTTGAACCTTGCCACGTGCCGATCATACCCTTTACACGTGCGAACTATCATGGTTTCATTATCTTCCAAATACTACTTAAATCGTGCTTGTAAGATACCCAAATGCCGATTCTTACGCTTTAAAGTGGAGGAAAATATTGTTTGAAGTGGTTAATTCATTCACATCTTTAGTATCATATACTCTTTTCAGATTCGTACTTAATTTATTGGCATGGATTTTTAGGGTTCTAAACTTTGTTTACGATCGAATCTTTACGTTAGAATAATTGCAATTTTGTTATGCGTATTTATTGGAACGTTTAAAATATTCAAACCATGCATCTGTCCTAACAATTGGTTGCGGATACATGAAACTTGTACATTGGTACAAGTTCATGAGATTTATATCTAATTTAATGGATGCGTAAAAAATTTATAAATTAAGAGTTTGTTATTATTATATTGATAATCTATATTTTCGGGAAACCGGCAAATAACCTAGGCCATAAACCTAAGGGATAAAAGAACAATGATTGATGAGGACGATGTGAGAATTTCAAAACGAAAAAAAAAAAGAGTGGAAGTATTTATGGTGGTGGTTTGGATCGTTGGGATATGACCTTGGACTGACCTTATCTTTATTTTGTCCCTTTTTAGTCTGCTTTTGATTTAGTTACCAAAATAACTCATTTAAAATGTTGATAGCAACCCACTTTTCCGGGAAAATGATCAATATTTTTGCGTAACGTAATGAAATCTTATTAGCATATGTTATCCTATAATAATAATAATAATAATAATAATAATAATAATAAAATCGATGACTTTTGTGTTATATAGGCCATTTCAATTTTAATACACGAGGCCTTTCGGTAATTCCGTATCCTTTTCTTTCTTCCTTTTTTTAATCGTTATTGAAATGGGATACCTTTGCCAATTGTTTTTAAAATAACCAATTTGTAAAAATGAGAGCATAAAAATATATTTTTTAAAAATAGGGGACAAAAATAAATAATTATGATGATAAAGAAGATTGGTGGGTTAAAAAGGGAGGTGAAGAAGAAAGAACAGCGACTGCTCTCCCTCTCTCTCTCTCCCAGATTTTTTCTTTGTCTTCCTTTGAGAGATTTATGAATGTTTCTTTAATCTCTTTTCTTTTATAGTTCTTTTTTAATGGTTTCCAGAATTTGCTGAAAAGAATTCGCACTAGCAGAGAAGAAGAGGAAGACAGAGAAAGCGAGACTTCGCATAAAAAACGATACCTAAGTTCCATCTCCATCTCCATCTCTCTCTCTCTCTCTCTCTCTCTCTCTCTCTCTCTCTCTTTCTCTCTCTCTCTCTCTCTCTCTCTCTCTCTCTCTGCAACTCCAAGGTATTACAGTCTGCTTTCTACCATAACCTCGTCATCTACAAACGTGTGTGTGTGTGTATGCGTGTGTATATGTGTTTCCGAGTGTTATAGATACAGACGATGACCGAAGCTGAAAGTAAGAACCCAGGAAAGGGGGTTGAAGAAAGAGATTGACTCCTTTCTTCTTCTTCTTCTTTTTTTTTTACATTAATTTTTTTTTTCAGCTGGGTTGGTTAGTGTTGTCGTGTTAGATTCTCGGCGACCAAAGTGTTTCTTTTTGTCTGAATAGATCCTTAAATTCTGATACTGCAGGATCCGATCAAGTGTGTATGTGTACACAATCAATCACACACCCTTCCGAGGAGAGAGAGAGGAGATATGAAGAAGAAGATTGAAGAATTCATGAACACATGGGAATAGCTACAACTCCGAATATCATCTCTTCCCACCATCAGTCCATCAAGATTCTGGACAACAATTCACCATCATCATCATCATCATCATCATCATCATCATCAGATCTTTCTATGTCCCAAGATTATCATCATCATCACCATAACCACCAAAGCATCTTCACCTTCTCCAATGGATTCGACCGATCATCCTCCACTCTGACAACTCATCAATCCCAGCATCCGCCGCAACAAGTGGGTATAGACGAAGATTCCGCCTCCGGAGCTGGGATTCCAGTCTACGAAACCGCCGGAATGTTGTCGGAAATGTTCAGTTTCCCCGGCGGCCCATCAGCCTCCGGAGAACTTCTCGACCAATCCCTACCGCCGAGTTACAATCCGACCAATTCAGTCACTACAAGACAGTTGTTGGAGCAGCAACACCGTCACCGTCACCAGAATATTCCGGGGATGAACGCCATGGACTCCGCCACCGCCGCCGCCGCAGCCATGCAGCTTTTCTTGATGAACCCTCCTCCGCCGCAACCGACAACGCAACGGTCACCGTCTCCGTCGCCGCCGCAAGAGTCGACAACCAACAACAACTCGACTCTTCACATGTTACTACCGAACCATCATCAAGACTACTCAACAGCTTACAACAACAACAACAGCGCTATCCAACACCAGCTTCATCAACAGTTCACGTGGTCGGATCATCAACATCACGGCCAAGTAGCCGCCAGCGCAGAGATCGGGACCGTCCACGTGGAAGGAGGACAAGGCCTCTCCTTGTCTCTTTCTTCGTCCCTGGCGGCGGCGGCCAAGGCCGAGGAGTATAGGAACATTTATTACGGAAACAACCACGGAATGGCCGGTGCTTCACCTTCATCTAACACCCCGGCTCATCATCAATACAACCACTTCAAGGGTCTATTAGATTCTTCTCATCATCACCACCATCACCATCATCAAGCGGTAGGTCATTTCGTCTCGCCATCGGCATCTTCCTCATCCTCCTCAATTGCAGGGATCAACATCTTGAGGAACTCAAAGTACACGAAAGCTGCGCAAGAGTTGTTGGAGGAGTTCTGTAGTGTCGGAAGAGGACATTTCAAGAAGAGCAAGTACGGTAGAAACACTGCCAACCCTACCACGAGCGGCGGCGGCAGTGGCGGAGGCGGAGGCGGAGGGTCTTCTTCTCCGGCGGCGGCGGCGGGGAAGGATCATCCTCCGTTGTCGGCGGCGGATCGGATCGAGCATCAGAGAAGGAAGGTCAAGCTACTCTCCATGGTTGAAGAGGCATGTTCTCGTTCTATCCTCTTTC